GGGGGGGGGGGAGTAATTCTGCTAACTTCACCTTTGCTTTACAAGATGTACAAAATTAGATTGGAAATAGGCCAGATACCACCATGCCTTTTTTGGAAACAGAGACCAGGCTGGCCCACGTGGAAGTCAGAGGACACCTTGGAGGTTTTGGTTTTCTCCTTTCACCATGTGGGTCCCAGGGACTGAACACAGCCTGGCTTGGCAAACTAGTACCTTTAACCAACTGAACCATCTCACCGGCCCCACCATGCAAACAGCTTTGCAATTAAATCTATGGATCGTCATGGCAGAAATGGCTTATGTCTATTATAGTCTAGGGGATGATCCTATTAATCTTTGGATATTTTATTTTGAGCTCCGATCTTAATCTTATCTTCAGTCCTTTCCAGTGGATCCACCTTCAGATGATTCTAAGACAGTCTAATTCCATCTAACTGGTCCCCTTGGATCTTACTCCACAGCCTGAAAGTCATCATGAGTGGAACTCCCACCTCAGCTATAAGTAGGCAGATAATTCAAGACTTAACCACTAAACCTCCTTAATGTTTTTAGAGTCTCAACTCTAAAAAGAGTCTTTCTGTGTAGCCTTGGCTACCCTGGACTCACTTTGTGGACCAGGCTAGCTTCAATCTCACTATACCATCTGCCTCTGCCTCCCTGAGTGCTGGGATTACAGACATGCACCCAGCTTTCGGGTCTCGACTCTGGATGGGGGTTATAGCATAGGCAGGCTTAAGGGTCACTGAGGATAAACCCCTCCTTCATAATCAGCTTTTCGTCTCCTTAAAATTTAAAATACCTTATGAGAAGGAGGATACCAGACCTTTGTTGAGGCCCATTAAAGGGAAGCTACTTCCTCTTGGTCAAAAGAATAGAATCTGGATTTGGTCTAAATAGCCCAAAATATTATATACTATTATTGTTACCTCCCTTAAGAGTCCTTCCAAGGAGACCTGTCAGTCATGTGACTAAGAGCCTACTGCTCAAGAAAGCTGATTCACCTCAAACCATGCTAAGGGATAGGAGTCATGGCTATCTTCTTAATCAAATAATGTACTTCCAGGTCTGAAGCCCCTCCCTGGATGCAGCTGTTGGCAGATTTTCACTGTTGAACCTGCCACTTTTCAGAATTCTCATTCAAAAGCATAATGTTTCCTTCCTTCCATTACCTGGGTATCAGCCAAAATCCTAAGTGTGCTTGTTGTCCCAACACCCAAGGCACTCTTAGTGTCTCAGAACCCCTCCTGTGCATACATCTGCTTAATGACCACGCTGCTCAACCTGTCTTCTTCTACCCTACCTCAAAAGGCTGCTTTCTCTTCCCTCTCCCTCCCCCAGGAGCCTGCAAAGACTCACAGCTTATCTGCTCTACTATTTTTTTTTTTCTGAAACTCTAATAAAATATTATTCAGGCTTCACAGAGTAGAGTACTATCATCTTCCAGGAGGCCCTGCCACACAGAAGCATAGAACTACCTGTCTCAGGAGGCAGCAACAGCTTGCATTGCTAGGGAGAACTAGAGAAGAATCAGGCCAGAAGTCAGGTACTTGGAGTTTGAACTTCCCCGCTCTAGTAGTAAAAGCAAAGGTTTCACAGGATTCAATAGACGTTAGTTGGAATGAATAAATCAGCAGTTCCGGTGTCCTTTTCCCATTTTAACTGCACCTCCCAAGAGCTCTATGAAGCAGGAATACCCACTAGGCAGTAGCATGCCACTGGGAAAAGTAGTTTTTCTTCTGGTTTTCTCCATTCCTTGTTAAGGAGGGTCTTAAGGAGGGGTTTAGGTGAGGAAGTGACACGGGTTTTCATTTGGGGTCTGCCTTGATCTCCACAACTCAAAGGCTGGTACCGCCAGCTCTGCTTCTTTATTTTACCAACTCATTACTGCAAAGGAAGGCAGGTAATCCACAAGCCTCCGCTGGGAGTTTTCACCAGGGCCTGGAGATGGCAAGCGCCTCACCGCACCACTGCACACACGCCGGGGCACAGGGCAGGCATACTCACCGGGCTCTCAGTGGCCTGGCTGTCTTCTTGATGAGGTGCCACACGGTCCACCGGCACCGCCAGCACAGCAGACAGCATCAGTAGAGGTGATAGGAGAAGGAAAGGGGTCCCGCGGGGCACAGAGGTAGGCATCGTGGCTGGTCTGTGCGGAGAGATGGAAAATTAGTTCTACGTTTGCTTTGAGACGTGTTAGGTAGCCTAGGTTGGCCTTGTATTCCTGACCTTTCTGCCTCCCCCTCCCAAGCTCTAGAAATACAGGCGTGCATTATTACCCCTGGCTAAGGATGTTCCCACCCGGGTCCGGTTGGGTAAAGGAGTGTGCACGCTATCCTCAGTGCCATCTCCATTTGCAAAAATGAACTCTAAGCGTTTCGTCACCTGAAACCCTGGATGCCAGGCCTCCAGCCTCCCTTTCCTGGGGCGCAATCCGCAGACCCTCATCCTGGCTCCTTCAAAGCAGGGAATCCTCCCTGGGGCCGAGATTCCAGACCCCTAGCCTCCCCTTCTCACGGGACCGCCAAGACCTGACACCCCGCGGCGTTTCCCGAGCTCCGGCCCTCCGCCCTCCGCCTCTGAACGCCCCTCACCTCCGCTGGCGCAGAGGGCGTTTTCCCAGGCTGGGACCTCCGCTCGGTTTCTGGTGCTTTCCCTCCTAAGTCACGCCCACTTTTCCACCCGCAGAAGGCCGGTCCCCAGAATACTGATTGGTCCACGCTGGCTCCCGAGCTTCCGCCCGCGTTACCGGCCCCACCTCTTTCCGATGAGGTTCCCTTACTTTAGAAAAATCTCTTCTGCTTCTCGGAAGCTCACATTCTTCAGCGTAACATTTCCTGCGTCGTTTTCAAATAAAACTCAAAGCTCTGCATGCCGGAGGATGGGGGTCGGGGGGAAACAACTTCTGCGGGCATCTTGCCGCTGTGTACCCTGGGAGTTGTAGTTCTCTCGTTTATTTTCGCTCCACAAATTCCTGCAAGTGGTGGGCAACGGCATAGCGTACTATCATTATTTTTTAGACAGGGTCTTACTACGTAGCCCTAGATAGAATTCTGTGTACACCAGGTTGGCCCCGAGGTCGCAGAAATCCTCTGCCTCTGACTCCCAAGTGCCGAGTTTAATAGCAGATACCACGACTCCCAGCCTCTCTTTTTATACTTATTTTATTTTTTATTTTTAATTGAGAAATTCTTTTGTGCATCTTCGAAGAAGAGGAATGCTTTCAACTCCCGGCACTCTTGCCTCCACCTCCCAAGTGCTGAAATTGCAGGCATAACGCCTTGACCTTAGACATTTCTTAAATGTCTGCCTGTAGAACTATATTGCTAGGTGACACTCTCGGGTCCCTTTAAGGAACGTTGACTTGCGGTTCCAATTTAGAACTCCCAGAACAAGGGATCCGTCTGCCTCAGTGGTCTCAGGCATTACTCTGTTGGACATGGACCGTGAGGGGCCAAGAGGGCCCAAAAGAGGGCAAGTACCTGTGGGAATCCCCTTTCCCGAGAATGTCTGGATATGTTTATAGAGTTCCGGCTTCGCGGCAAGGCCGTGAGAGCTCCAAGCTGGCACTAGGAAGGGGTGGGCGCCTCTGGGATTCCAGACAGGTGGATGCGGAGGGTTTGGGTTTTGTGGCCCTGAGCCTCCAGTCCCAATACTTAGAAGCCTTAGATACTTGGAAGAGAGACTGGATCTTTGCGCTCCCAGTAGCACTTAGAGCTCGAGACAGGCTACTAAGTCTCAGGTAGGAATTGGGATTTGGGTTGCTAGGGATCAAAAGAAAAATGAAGGCTGAGGTCGGGTATTAGAGGGTGGTCTCTACTGAGATGTGGGACCTGGGTCTTGATTGTGCCTTCCTAATCCTCTAGAACGTCTCAGGAAAATGAACCGTGGAAGAAAGAGTGAGTGGGAAACCTGATGGGCAGTGGGTGTGGGAGGAGAACTCGCACTCCACAGGGACACGTTCAGCTTCGGCCTCAAACTTTGTCTTCAGGCTCAACACCATCAACTTTGTAGGAAGGTGGGGGGAGGGGCCTGTACTCTCAGGCTCTTTGGAAAGGGGTACAGGTGAAAATGCTTAGGCTGTGAGAGGACCTGGACCTCTGAGTCTCCCAAGATACCATGATCCTGGGGTCTCTGCTTGGGTCCTAAAGGGGAGGGGGCGGCCCTGGGATATGAGTGTCATAACTGACCTAGAAAGCTCAGGTCCCGCCCCACTGTGACATCAGAGGTGCTTAGAACCCAATTTGGTCAAGGGGAGGGGCTCCTGACCAGACAAGCTGTTCTGCTGGCTGTGGCCACCAGCCTGTGTTTCTTTCAGCACCTTGGAGGATGAGTTTTCCGGCGTGAGGCTGCAGAAGCTGGAACAACAGGTGAGGCCAGGAATCCCACTCCCCTACCTTCCCAGTCTCCCCAGAAGGTTGTTGAGAGCCCCCAGCCCCACCTTTTTTTCCCTCTGAACTTCACAGAAAATAGGAATTCAGCTTCGAGACCATGGCATGTAGGCAGAGACAATTTGCTGAAACTGGTTCTCCCCTTGACAAAGTAGATCCCAGGACTTACATTCAGGTTGTCAGGCTTGATACAATAGCAAGTCCCTTTACCCAGTGAGCCATCTCCCAGGCCCTAATGAGTCTGGGGTTTTGTTTTGTTTCAAGATGGCCTCACTCTAGCCTGTGCTGACCTCATATTTGCTTCCGTCCTCTTTTACTTCCCCCAATACTAGATTTACTACAGACGTGAGCCTTTATAGCTGCTTTTGTATTTTGAAACAGGGACTCACTAAGTTGTCTAGGCAGGCCTGGAAATTGCAATCCTCACACCTCTGCCAGGATGGCAACCCAGGCTGAGGAAAATGTTAAGAAACAAAAGTTGTAGAGTTCTTGAGGAGGCGGAGGTAGATCAGATCTGAGGGAAAGGACTGGAGGGACTGGGAGCCTGGGTACCTTGGACTCCAGTGGAGGAAGGGTACCCAGATTCTCCGAGCCAAGCTCGCTCCTTTCTACCTGTCTGGTTTCTGTCCCCACTTCACGTCCCCCCTTGCTTCTGCAGCGACAGCTATTTGAGAAGAAGCAGCGCAGGAAACGCCAGGAGCCCCTCATGGTTCAGGCCAATCCTGATGCTTCCCTGAGGCACCGGCGACCCAGGCGTGGGGACGAGCGCTTCCAGAGTGACAGCGGCTGGGGACTTGGTCTGCTGGAGGGGGTTTATGGAGGCTAGGGGCAAGGCCTAGTGAACACTGGAGGGGGGATCTAGTGAGGCCCAGGGGTCTAGGGGATGTCAGGAAGTGTCCTAATTGCATCAGCGGTGGGGAATCAATAAGGGATCCTCTTTGAGGCTAGAGATGGGGCTGAGGGTCAGGCCTGTGACGTATCAGGGCAGAGCCTGGGGGACTCAGAGGGGTGGAGCTTAGGACCAGGTGTTAGGTAGGGGAAGGGACTGTCGGACTGGCTTACAACATGTCGGGGCGGGGTCTAAGTGCACCAAGGAGTGGAGCATAAGGTGGGAGAGAGGGGCGTGGCCTACTTGAGTGTGGGGCTTTATGAGGGAACAGGGGTGGGGCTTCCTGGATCCCTGGGCAGAGGACTGAGTTTCTTAGAAGCCATTTCTATGAAGCTAGGCCTTTGAGATTATCCCGCCCTGTGACAGTACCTAGGCAGAGCAGAGAGCAACTGGAGGGCCAAACCCCAGAGAATACGGTGACTGGGTTTGTCAGAACTCAGTAAAGTCTGGGAGAACTGGTAGCGCAGAGATTTCACAGTTTTCTTTTGGTAATAAGGAGCAAACCTAGGACGACAGCCAGGCAATGCTGGCTGCCTTGCTACTGAGTTTCGGGTTGGGGGTGGGGAGGTGAGTCTCATGCTGTAGCGCAGGGTATACTGGAACTTGCTCTGTAGTGCAGGGTTTGAGGCAGACTTTCTGCCTTGCCCTGTAGATCCTTTTCAAGCGGGCCTCTCTGCACTTTCTCCCAGTCTTTGGGAACCCTTTTCTCCAGGAGAACGTACCACAGGCTCATCTGCCCTCTGGGGCCCACAGTGCCCTGGTCACCATGAGCTACGTCGGAGATGGTAGTGGCGAGCGGGCCCCACTGCTGTCACCCAGAGGAGCAGGTAACCCAGAACATGCCCCCACCCCGTACCCCTCACAGTCGTGTTGCAGTCAGGTACCAGGGCCCCTCTTCTTGCACCAAAGGATCTCAAATCTGAAACTCTTTTTCTTCAGTGTACACTCGGGGCAATGGCCCTGCGGTCCGCCATCTCTGCTGGCTCCCAGACAGCTCCGATTCGGATGTGGAGGAAGTGACCATGGAGGATACTCCGGTCATCCCCCGACCTCCCAAGACTCACCTGGCAAACCGACGCAGGGGCTGGTTGGCCTCCCCAGGGCCTGGTAATTTCGGGGATGGGAGTGAAATCTGTCCCGTGGTTTCATATAAGCTGTCATCCTAGCTTTGGTTAACAGCTTTATATGAGATGTCATAATTCATTGGCCTCACAATTCATCTGTCAAGGTGTCTAGTCTGTTATTGTGTATTCAACTGGAAAACAATCACCACATCAAATATATTTATTTTAATCAATTTTGGGTGGGAAGAGGGTCTTTCTCTATGTAGCCTTGACTGGACTTGACCTCACAAGAGATCCACTGGCCTCTCCCTCCTTGTGTGCTGGGATTAAAGGTGTGTTGCACCACACCCAGATTATTTATTTTTAATTCTTTTTTAGTTATTCATATGTGATGTGATGTGTGTGTGTGTGTGCGTGTGTGTGCGTGTGTGTGCGTGCGTGTGTGCGCGCGTGTGCGCGCGCTCCTGCGTTTGTGTTTGTGGATGTGAGTAGTCCACAGAGGCCAGAAGAGAAAGTCAGGCCCACTGGAGCTGGAGTTAAAGGCATTTATGAGCCACCGAATTTGAGTGCTGGGAACTAAACTGACTCTTGAAAAGAACAATATGCACCCCTTGACTGTTTAATCTGTCCAGCCCTTCATTTCACTTGCTTATTCTTTTGGGGGGGAGCCAGGAACTGTGACACATCCCAGCACTGGGGAGGCAAAGGCAGGTAAACCTGAGTTCAAAGCAAGCCCAGTCTACAAATCCAGTTTCATGCCAGCCAGGGATCCACAGGGAGATGCTGCCTCTGGCCTCTCCCCGTGGGTCCTCAGGGAGATCAGGCAGCAGGTTTCAGTCCCTGTGGACCCCATGTGCATACACAGTGCAGAGAATCTGGCCAGTGGAAGAACAGGTAAGCAGCCAAGAACTCGAGTTCTTATCAAGCTGACAATCCTCCTCTCCTAACTGGGACCCAGATGTCCTGACCTGTAGCTGCTTCTACCCCTTAGGGATCAGTGAAGAGGAAGAAGTTGAAACCAAGGATGCCAGAGTTGAACAGCAGGCACCCAGTCCGGACCCAGCCCCTATAGTGAACTCTGATAGGATTCATGGAGATGTGGCATCTTGCAAGATGGAAGGAAGCACAGCGAAAAATAATATAGAAACAGGAAGACCAGCCTCTGGCGTTGGGGTAGGGTGGTGCTAGAAATCTGCAGCCCAATCTGCAGGGCATTTTGAGTGATGTAGCAACAAGCAAGGTGAAAGCCTGTGGCATGGTGGTGCATGCTTGTATATATAACGGGGCAGACAGAGGAGCTGGGAGTTCAAGGCCAACCTGGGCTACATAGGGAAACTCTCTCCCCTAAAAGATACCTCATGGACAAATACTGACTTACAGAGACTACAAAGAGTTATTTGGAAGGGTCATTTTTGTCATCAATATGGTATCATGCTTGTCAGACAAGCACTCTTACCACATTTGAGCCCCTCACGCAGCGCTCAGCACTGCCCCAGCCACCTTACTGGCATGCTTTGCCAGGCGCTCTGGGTTTATATGTTCCAGAGTAACGGTCTCTCATAGGTTGTTCAGTGAGTGTATGGATACGTGGGTATGGAACTGATGAGGTCACAAGCCAGACACGTGCCAGCTGGGTCATGTGGGTTAGCTGCCAGGCTTAACTGACAAGAAGCCATGGGTCTTCAAAGGTTATCCCTGAGCTGGAATAAGCCAACCAGTCTGTGAGGCTGAGCCTCACTGCCCTCAACTTTTTGATTTACACTTGAGCTAGGATGAAGACCCTGAGAAGAAAGACAGCACAGAGTCTACGGGGACAAACAACAGCCCAGTGGCATCCAAGGTCTTGCAAGGCAATGGTGACACAAGCAACCACAGTTCTTGGAACGTGGCCTGCCCGCTGCCCCGCACTCCGGGCCCTCGCCTCGGGGAGGACATGGAGGCCTACGTGCTGCTCCCCGCGCCCTGGGACCACATGGTGCAGTGCCGCATCGTTCGAAACAAGCATGGCATGGACAAGGGCATGTTCCCTTCCTACTACCTCTACCTGGAGGCGGAGGATGGTGTGGCAGTACGCTTCAGCCCCTTGGGGGTGGGTAGGCCTCAGAGCGGAGGGGACAGATAAGAGTCCCAGCTTCCAGGAATGTGTCCCCTTTTTGGTTACCTTTTCTGGAGCCAGATGTGGCAGCGTACAGCTACAGTCCTAAACTTGGGAAATGGAGGCAGGGAGGATTAGAAGAGGAAAGTCAGCCTTGACTATAAAGGAGGAGTTTAAGGCCAACCTCCTGACCTAACATGAGGCCCTGTTTCAAAAAACGTAAAGAGCCAGATGGTGGTGGTCCATGCCTTTAATCCCCTGTACTTGGTAAGGGAGGAAGCTGGACCTCTGAGTAGGAGGCCAGACCTGTCTAAAAACCGAGTTCCAGGCCAGCCAGGGCAACAACATGAGACCCTTTCAATAAAAAGATTTTTCTGGACTCAGGCCTGTGTCACATAGGACTTGTCAGTTCCAAGCCCTGCCCAGTTCAGAACCTCACACTTCAGAGCATAGCGGCCTGGGTCCTCCCCACCCTACAGCAAGCCTTTTGCACTGCAGAGTTAGTCCCTATCTACCACACTTCACTCCCCTTTGAGATCAGGAGCCCCTTTGGCCTCCCCAACTCAGTCTTCTTTGCAGACAAGCCCCACTCTGGTAGAGACCAGGCCCTCAAAGCAGTTCCCTTCTGCAGCTAAGCCACACCCCTCCCGGTCTCCTCCTCCCAGTGTGGCCTCCATCTCCTCCAGAAAGAGCCTTTCCCGAATTCACAGCTGTCTTCAGGACCCTGGCTCTAGACACGTGTCAGAAATCAATCCTGAAGTCTGTTCCTCTGATCTGCAGCATTTCCTTCTGGCTGGGCGTAAAAGGAAAAGAAGCAAAACGTCCAATTACCTCATCTCCCTGGACCCCAAAGACATGTCTCGCAACGGGAACAACTTTGTAGGCAAAGTTAGGTAGGCGACACCTTCTTGCTCTGTGGTGCTGTTAGCATGTGGCAGGAAGGCAGGAGACAGGCAAATGGACTACACTTCCCAACAGGCCTCAGAACACAACATAGTACCTGCACTAGCAAGCCTGATGGGTTTTGTAGTTCTGTAGGTTTTAGTTCCACAGCTGGGAAGGAAAAAGATGAAAGCTTTGGATGCCATGAAAACAGGCCAGCATTTAAGATGTATAGCTTTTCTGAGGGCTTGGCCCCCTCAGTTACTGTGGGGAAAGAGGTCTACAGTGTGAGTTCTTATCTCCCAGATAGAAGAGGGTTCCTAAGAAGTTGGTGCAGGAGGCTTGAATAACACCAAAGACTCAGATCTGGGACTGTGATTTTTGCTTAGAAGGATGGGTTTGAGAAAACATTTAAGAGTAATGATTGGTGTCATGGTTATTACTCTGTCCATTGCCCTCCTGGGGCAGATCCAATGTCTTGGGCACGAAATTCACCATCTTTGATAACGGGGTGAACCCTGAGCGCAGCTACTGGATTCCAGACAGTGCCCGGATCAGAGAGGAGCTGGGAGTTGTCTGTTATGTAAGTACCCTGGCTAGGTGGAGATGAATGGAGGTGCCGACAGGTAAGAAGGCATAGGAGCCAGGCCAACTGGAGTATAATCTAATCTATCCTCCCAGGAGACCAACGTCCTGGGATTCCGGGGGCCTCGGAAAATGACTGTGATCCTTCCAGGAATGGACAGCCGGAAGCAGAGGATGAAAGTCCAGCCACAAAATGTGAGTCTTGAAGGTTGGGAATCTCAGTGCTGAGAGAGGAGAATGAGTTAGGGAACGCCATTACAGATCTGGACATGGGGCAAAGGTTCACAGATCACATGGGAAACGTGAATGACTGCCACCTCAGGAAGTCGCTCAGTGGTTAATAGCATGGATTTCCCAGAGGGAAAGGAAAGGCAGACCACCTGAGCTGGAGGTTAGCCTTTTCTAAATATCGAGTTCTAGGCCAGCCAGGGCTACAGAGACCTTGTCTGAGACGCACAGCCAAACACAGAGAGACTTGTGGAAGGAGTGGGTGAAGGTTAGAAGGGAGAAGATGGGAGCTCCACAGGAAGACCAACAGAACCAACTATTGAGGGCCCAGAGGGGCTTGCTGAGGCTGAAGCACCAACCAAGGATCAAGCCTGTTCTGGACCTAGGCCCCTACACAGATGTAGCCGGAGGACATCTCAGGTCATGTGGGTTCCCTAGTGAGGGGAGCAGGGGCTGACCTGGACATGGACTCTGTTGCCTGCTTTTTGCTCACTTTCCCCTCAGCGAGGCTGCCTTATCAGGCTACAGGGAAAAAGGGAGCTCCCCTTATCTGAGAAGGGGTGTGGTGATGTGGGGAAGAGGGAGAGTGAGACCAGAAGGAGAGGGAAGGGAGGCTACGATCGGAATATAAAGTGAATAAATAAATAAATAAAATTTAAAAACATGAAAAAATTAATCCCAGCACTTGGGAGGCTGAGGCAGGCGGATCTCTGTGAGTTCGGGGCCACTACAGAGTGAGTTCCAGGACAGCTGGGGCTACACAGAGAAACCCTGTCTCAAGAAACAAAATAAACAAGGTAAACCTGGCAACCTAAAGACACTGAGTCTCAAACAATATATGCATCTGGGCTAAAAATCAAGCTAGGGGTGGGCTAACCAACAATGCCCCTACTGTATCTTCAAGGATCAGGATTCGATATTGAGTCGCCTACAAAAGGGCGCTAGACAAGGGCTGCTCCTACTGCAGAACAAGGCCCCATCATGGAGCGACGAGAGCGGCGCATACGTACTCAATTTTCACGGCCGCGTCACTCGTGCTTCGGTCAAGAACTTTCAGATAGTGCACCCGGATGAACGTGAGCTCCTAGCAACCCGAAGACCTGGGTTGGGGGCGGAAGTGGTCACTAGAACTACGCGGGGCGGGTACCTCGCTGGCGCACGGCCTACTGGGAGATGTAGTTTCCTAGCTTGGTAAGGGACAGCCGCGCGGCGGCGTGGAGTTTGACTAAGCCCTGGTTCCTGGTTTCCTCCTCAGCGGACCACCTGGTGCTCCAGTTCGGCCGTGTGGCCCCAAACATATTCACTATGGATTTCCGATATCCTCTTTGCCCGCTCCAAGCCTTCGCCATCTGTTTATCCAGTTTCGATGGGAAACTGGCCTGTGAGTAACTGAATAAAATTACCATCCCTCACCAACTCTGTCCTGTGCTTTGGAGAAAGCTTCACTCTATGTCTCCTCCTTTCTTTTTTAGTTTTTTGAAACTCAGTCTGGTCTCCAACAGCTATGTAGCTGAGGCTGGCTTTGAACATCTGTTGCTTCCACCTCCGAAGTACTGGGATGACAAGCCTGGCCTTGTCTTTTAATAATAAATCTTTAAAATAATTTTTTTAGTTAATGTACAAAATAAATGGGCTTCGTTATAACATTTTCACATGTCGTCGTACCTTGCTATCTACCACCTTCCTTTGTCCCTTCTAGTTTTCGAGATAGCCTGGAACTCAAGCCAATCCTCCTGGCTCGGCTTTCCAGGACTCAGTGTTTGGACACAGAACTCATTTTTAGCCTCCCTTGAAGTCATCAATGCACACTTAGACTTGATCACTACAAATCAAAAGGCTTTATTTCTTATTAAAAATAAATAAATAACAGGACAGGACTTGGACTTAGCCACGCCTCCCACCGAGGTCCAGACTACTGGGAGGGGAGGCTTCAAGGGGAAGGGGGGAGGGCGTGGCCCCAGGGGAGGAGCAAGGCCGCTGCGGTGGAGGAGGTGAGAGGGCCAGAGGAAGGGGCGTGTTTCTAAGGCGTGCCCACGCTCTGGCCCGAAAGGCGGGAGTAAGGTAAGGACCCAGTTTCTCCTCTGCCTGGGCAATGCGGCGGGCAAAGCGGCTTCGATCTCGTGCGAGCTGCTCCCAAGGACCACGACGGGCAGCCTGGGCTGGCCCTGCCCAGACAGCAAGGAAGTGGACCGTGATTTTCTCGGAGAAATGTACCTGGGGACAGACGGGTGGGGACAAGAAATAAAAATTAGTCACGCAAAAATGCTTGGCATTTGGTCACCTGCCTGCTGACTGTCCCTCTGACACAGATGGACTACTGTAAGCCACAACTACCACTCTTCCTGCCTCTTACAGGAGATTGCAACAGGGTGAACACAGCCTCCCCAGCAGAGTTCCTATGCAAGAAGCTGCAACACAAGGCTCCCTGGCGTCCACACCTCCAGCACAACTTCCTTAGGGATTTCCCGGTCTCGGCCACCCCTTCTCCTCCTGACTCAGAGTCTAGGCCCTTTGTGTAAATTATAGAAGAAAGGGGAAGGGGGGTTGGTAGTGTGGAATCCTACTGTAATCCCAGGACTTAAGTCCCTGTGCTGCAAAGTGAAACCAGGTTCCTCACACTCACCTTTCGGGCCTTCAGAGGAGTCTCGGGGTCCTGATCCCGGGTGGGTGCCTTGAACACACTGAGTCTCCTTTGCAGTCGAAGGGGCAGCTTAGGAGCAGCCCAAGGTGGTGGTGGCGTCTCTCCAGGTAAATAGAAGGCCACCTGGAAGGGAGAGTGCTCTCCTCCCTCACATCTTTGTGTCTTTTCTCCTGGTAGACAGTGCTGGGCCTGAAGGTAGGGGCTCCTGCCTGAGTCAGCTGTTCCTGAATCATCTGGGACCACACTCTCATTGTCCTCCTCCTCCTCCTCTGTGTCCTCTCCTGGGTGATACACCCAGGCCTTCAGGAGGGCACTTGCATGCAGGGCAGCATGGCTCTGGTCTCCGTCCTCCTCAGTCGGTCCCCAGTCGCTGTCATCTTCCTCTGTGTCCTCTCCCGGATGATACACCCAGGCCTTCAGGAGGGCACTTGTATGTGGGGTGGCACAGGTCTGGTCTGCTGATTCCAAATCACTGTCTTCCTCTGTGTCCTCTCCTGGACGATACACCCAGGCCTTCAGGAGGGCACTTGCATGCGGGGCAGCATGGCTCTGGTCTCCGTCGTCCTCAGTAGGTCCCCAGTCGCTGTCATCTTCCTCTGTGTCCTCTCCCGGACGATACACCCAGGCCTTCAGGAGGGCACTTGTATGCGGGGTGGCGTGGCTCTGGGTGCCATCTTCCTCAGCTGGTCCCCAGTCACTGTCATCTTCCTCTGTGTCCTCTCCTGGGGGGTGCCCCCAGGCCTTCAGGAGGGCATTCCCAGCACAGACAGCCAAGGATGAGGCCTCAGCTTTTCCCTCTTCATTCTGATGAGGCTGACCCTGCCCTGTCCTGTGTGGCTCTGGGTTGGCTTGCCCTTGCTGCTTAGGAGCCTCTCTCAAGCAGTCTTCCCAGGCTCTGGAGTTGGCACCTGAAGGAGGAGAGTTGGGGGGGTCAGCTTTATTTTCTGTTCCTTTTTCCTCCGTGGCTCGCTGTTCTGCCTCCCCTGGGCAACAGGAAGAAGTTCTGGGTTTGTATCCTGGAGGCAAGTAAGCAGCAGAGGCTTGGAAAGCCTTCTTCACAGTTTCTCCATCCTCCTCATCCTCGGCTGGACAACCCTCCGGGTGTGATGTGGGATAAGGCAGCTCAGTCACTCCCTCTTCTTTAGCCACCACCCCCCCAAGGCTCTTATCAGCTCCCTGCAGGCCAGGGGGATGGAGTACAGGCAGGCCAGCTGGATGTCGCTTTTCATGGTTGTCACTCTTTGAAAGTCCCCAAGTTTCGGGAGGGGAACTGGTGTCTTCCACATCAAGGCAGGGCCCCTGGGCTGCTACACTGCCTTCAGCTTCCCCACTCTCTTCAGCCTCCCCCTGAGGGAGGTGGTTCCCGGAGACAAGGGGAGATGTCAGCGGAGAGCTGGCCTCTCTCTGATCTGCTCCTGTTAGTGCCAGCCAGGGCTCTGGGACTTCCGGGCCCCTCAGGCGGCTCCAGGCCCGGCTGAGGAAGCCCATCAGTGGAGACAGGAGGTGGAAGGAGTGAACATCCCTCCAGGGCAGGGTATGTTGGGGTCTTGGGCTTGGGGCCATGTGTTTGGGCTAGAAAAGGGGGAAATCGTTTAGAAGTCACTCTGAAAACAGTATCGGGTCACAACCCTGAGTCATCGTAACATAAACAGTCACAGCAGCATCACGTGGATGCCAGCCTCAAATTCCTAAGAACACTGCTCACACCCGCCTCCATCACCTGGTTCTACTCTCTCAACACCTACATCCTTAGAACCAAGAGCCCAACCCTCTAACCCCTTTCTTCAACTCAGGCCTCCTCAGACCTCTACGAGCCTGGCTTCTACGGACCCTTTGCCCCTAACACCGTCTCCTGTCTACCCAAGGCACTCCTCCTGGAGTCCTTCCCTCGGCTCACACAGATACTCCAGTTCTAGCATCCAGGGCCCTTCCCTTTAATCGGAGAGTCTAGACCTCAACCTTCCCGGACCCACGGGTCTAGGCCTGGGCTCTGCTCTGTCGGACCCCACGTACCGGCGGGCTGCACGTCACCCCGGGGGCAGGAGGGCTGGCTCGGGTTGACAGAAGCGGTCGCGGGTCCGGCCTGGTCGCAAAGCCAGCGCGTTCATGTCGCCCTCACGCGTGGGGCTCGGGGCGAAGTCTCGCAGGCTGTCCCGACAAAGGGAAGCGGGATCGCGCGGGGTCTCGCATGTAATCTTCCGCCGGCTGAGAGCTGGGTCAATCTGCGTCAACACCCGCAGCACTGCCTTTATAGACGGACCCGGTCGCCGCGCTGACGTCGCCGGGGAGGCGGGGTTTCGGAAGTCCCTGGTGGCGAAAGGAAAACAGCCCGGAAATTCTCGGGAGAGTCCGGGCTCTGTGACGTCACGCTGCTTGCCGGGCGTGAACTTGGCCAAACCCAGCCATTGTCAGTCCCAGGACGCGTCTGAGCCCGCAAACGGACTTTCTCCTCTCTCTCTCTCTTTTTTTTTTTTTTTTTTGAGGCAGGGACTGGCCTCCAACCCAGTAATCCTTCTGCTGTCTCCAGAGTTCCAGAGTGCTGGGATTAAGGGCGTGCACCACACTGCCCGGCTTTTGTTTTGTATATTTGTTTTGTTATTAGAAACAGGGTTTCTCTGAGTATCCCTGGCTGTCCTCGAGCTCTCTCTGTAAGAGCAGGCTGGCTCGAACTCTCAGAGATCCGCCTACCTCTGCCTCTGAAGTGCTGCGATTAAAAGCATGTACCACTACGCCCAACTGTTTATTATTAAAAACAAAAACTTTTAAAATGCCAGCTGTAGGGCCCGTGTGGTGGCACACGCCTGGGAGGCAGGCGGATTGCTGTGAGTTTGAGGCCAGCCTGGTCCTTAAAGCGAATTCAGGACAGCCAACCTACACAGAAAAACTCCAACTCAACAAACAAAACTCTGCAGAGATGGCTCAGTGTTTAAAGGCACTGGCTGTTCTTCCAGAGGTTCTGAGTTCAATTCCCAGCAACTATCTATAATGGGATCTGATGCCCTCTTTTGGGCATGCAGGTAAATAAATCTTAAAAAAAAAAAAAAAAAAAAAAGCCAGTTGTGGTAGCACGTACCTTTAATCCCAGCACCTGGGAGGCAAAGGCAGGCACATCTCTGAGTTCGAAGCCAGCCTGGTCTACAGTAGTGAGTTCCAGGGCAGCCAAGGCTCCAAAGAGAATCCTTGTCTGGAAAAACAAAACAAAACACTTTTTTTTTTTTTTTTTTTTTTTTGCATCTTGAATTTTTTTATGTTTTCCCTGCATGTATAAATATATAAATTGTGTCTGTATATGGTTCATGTGGAGGCCAGAAGATGGCCTCAGATCCCCTGGAACTGGAGTTAGAGACAATTGTGAGCCTCCGTAAGTGCTGGGCCCTCTTCAAGAGCAGCAAGTACTTAAACCCTGGGACATCCTTCTAGTCCCTTGGTTGTTTTGGTGTGTGTCCGTCTGGTTTTTCTTTTGTTTTATTTTCAGACAGGGTTTCTCTGTGTAGCCCTGGCTGTCCTGGAACTCACTATGTAGACCAGCCTGCCTCTGCCTCCCTGAATGCTGGGATTAAAGGCATGAGCTACTGTGCTTGCCCTGTCTGTTTTGAGACAGGGTTTCACAGTATAGTCTACACTGTCCTGGAACCCTGGATAAGCTCAGGCCAGCCTTAATCTTTGGGCAATCCTCCTACTGTATACAGAGAAGCAGTTATTCCAGCCCATTGCCTGCTTTCATGGAGTCTTTTCCTTCTTTTTAAAAAACACTGATTTCCATAGCCAGGAATGGTGGTGCATGCCTATAATCTTAGCACTCAGGAGGCAAAGGCAGGCAAATCTTTGTGAGTTTGAGGCCAGCCTGGTCTACAAAGAGAGTTCCAGGACCATCATTGCCCCATTGGATCAAGGCCACATTTGTGGACCATGGGTGCACATGAGTCCTGACTTCTCGCTTAGACCTTCCTAGATACAACCTATCAGCCAGGCTGTATCCCAACTTTGCATGATTTTAGTAGCTGGAGACTCCACTCTGTGAAAGACCCAGGACACTTCTCTTGACCGTGCCAGGAGCTCAAAACCCCAGGAACAACAGACCCATTAGCTCCAGCCTCTGCTCCAAACAGAGGAGTCCCAGCCACAGATTAGGGGTGCCAGGAGTTGGGGGAGCTCAGTCCCTCCCCTTGGGTGTGGGGGCAGCTGAGCCAGGGGTCAGGTTGTAGTGGGGAGGCCAGAAGAGGCGGGGACAGACAGGATTGGGAGGGGAGACAGCAGCGTGGGCGTCTGCCAGAGAGAGGGGAAGCCCAGCAAGCAGAGAGGAAAGAGAAATCGGGAGAGGGAGGAAGAGAGAAAGTGAGGAAGAGAATGTGAAAAAAGAAAGGAAACAGATGTGTGGGAGAAAGAGGAAGAGACTGAGAGTGGAGAGAGACAGCTGAAGAGAGAAGTGAAACGTGAGGGAACAAGGGGAGGATTTTTAGACAGGAGAGACTGGAGAGAGGTGACATAGGAAGACAGAGAGAGAGACAGAGAGAGGGAGAGGAGGGAAACTCACAAACAAGGCAGAGAAGAAAGGAAAGTGAATATCAGGTGAGGAGACAGACCAACAGAAAGGCAGTGTCTAAGACACAAAAAGACACAGACCCTATCGCTGGGACACTAGAACTGGGTAAGTCCTTGACTGGGCTGGGAGGTATTTGCCTGGATGCCTATTTCTGCTATCTTAGGACTTGTCTTGGGGAGCTGGCAAAGATGGTTTGGGGGTTCATAAGGGAAGACAGAGACAGCTAGCCCAGGGCATCCTGAAGCAGGCAGGAGTGGAATCCCTATGCATAGAGGGGGGTCACATTCCTGGTCAGAATTTAGTGGGCAGGAATAAAGGCACCCCTATTCTTCTGGCCTGGCTGCAGACAGCTGCCCCCTCCCCGCAGCTGCCAGAGCCGCCTACCTCTCTTGGCACTGCTCTTGGTATGTGATCCCTGCTCATGGCCTCCCCCAGCCCCTCAGTCCCCAACAACAGTTTCTTTCTCCTCAGCCTCCTCTGACCTTCGAGCCCTGACCCAGCTCTGCTCAGCCTCCATCAGTAGAGACACAGCCTCTTTCTCTTTCTCTGAAAGCTGTCGATGGAGCAGGGCCGACCCCGGAGCAGCCTCAGCCTGGCCAGCAGCGCCTCCACCATTTCTTCGCTGAGCAGCCTGAGCAGCAAGGTCCTTCTTGTTTGGTGACGGGATAGGGAGGAAGGGGGCTTTTCCCAGCTACGGGTTCTTTGCCATCACAGGGACTCCAGTTGTCACGGGTGAGGATCCCTTGGTGATTGGGTCTGCCAGACCAGTCCCAAGTTGAGCATCAGCTGCAGCCGGGAATTTGGAGACATTCCCGGCTCTGTCCACACCCCTCTCGGTCTCCCTACCTCTAAGCCAGAAGAACAAACAAGCCCAGACTGAGGAGATGGCCATTCTTGACTGGAGCAGGAGGCTTCCTTTCCAGTCTCTAACCATCGGACCCACCCATTCATAACCAGGCATGGTGGGTCACAACTGTAACCCAGTGTTGGGCAGGTGGGAGCAGAACATCCAAAGTTCAAGGTTATCTTTGGCTACATATCAAATTAGAAACCCTGTCTCATACAAGAAAACACCCACGCCAGAGCCAGGTGTGGGTGACATACACCTTTAATTTCAGTGCAGAGGCAGGGGCAGAGGCAGAGGCAGGGACAGGCACGGGGGGGGGAGGGGGGGGGGGGGGGGGGGGAGGGGGGGGGGGGCAGAGCAGAGGCAGGGGCAGGGGGCAGAGGCAGAGGCAGAGACAGAGGCAGGGGCACGGGGCAGAGGCAGAGGCAGAGGCAGAGGCAGGGACAGAGGCAGAGGAAGGCAAATCTCAGTGAGCTTGAGGTCAGCCTTTGTCTACGTTGTGAGTTCCAGGACAGCCAGAGCTACATAGTGAGATCCTGTCTTGAAAAACAAAAGCACACACACACACACACACACACACACACACACACACACACAACCAAGCCAGGTCTGGTGGTACATACATACCTGGATCCCAACATTAAAGAAGTAGAGGCAGGAGGGGGGATCAGAAACTTAACATCAACCTTGGTTACACAGTGACTTGAGGATAGCCTAAACTACATAAATATCACCTAGGACAAAATTCACCTTTCTCCATCAAGTTCAAATACAGTTTTGGTTCCAGCCTTGGTCAGCCTCCTGCCAAGGAGGGGTAATCCAGGGCAGCTGGGCATGTGTTTGACAGGTCACCTCTGAGGGAAGTGAGGCATGAGAAATCCTGCATCAAAGATACCCTTCTATCTTTCATTAACCAGGACTTGCGTCTGGAAATTTCTCCTGTAGGGAACCTCCCAGCCCATGCCCTCACTGTGCTTTGCAGAGGTTCTCTGGCAGCTCTGGCTGTGGCAGCAAAGAACATGTTCTTGCCAGGGACACCTCTGCAGGGTCTCCTGAAGCCCAGGCTGAACTTGAACTCCCCCTGTATGTAGCCAAAAGTAACCTAAAACTTTGTGGTATTGTTTGAGACAGCCCTGACTGTCCTGGAACTCCCTCTGTAGACCAGGCTGGCCTCAAACTCAGAGGTCCACCTACCTCTGCCTCCCAAGTGCTGGTTTTAAAAGTGTGTGCCACCACCCTTTGAATTTCTAATCCTGCTTCTACTTCCAAAATGTTGGGGTTACAGGCATGAACAACCAGCCTTGGTTTATACAGTGCTGGGACTTGAACACAAGCTTCATGCACAAGGAAGCACTGTAGCAGAGCTAACTAAATCTCTTGTCACTTTTTTGTTTGTTTGTGGTTTTTTGTTTTTTTTTTTTTGAGACAGGGTTTCTCTGTATAGTCTTGGCTGTCCTGGACTATCTTTGTAGGCTAGGTTGGCCCCTGCCTCCCTGAGTGCTGGTCTCACACAGACTGTCCTGGCACTCACTATGTTGCTGAGGATGACCCTCAGATCCTGATCCTCCTGTGCCTCCCAAGTGCTGGTTTTACCATGAGCGTGCCACTATGCTCTCAGCCTCCTTGCCTGCCTTCCAAGTCCCAGGAGCCAGGCCCATTCCCTTCTGTTCCTATTGCACTTCAGAAGCCTACTCGTGCAGTACACAAGGTCCATGCCTTCGGCAAGAGGAGCAATGCATTGCGGCGAGACCCCAACCTGCCCGTCCACATCCGTGGCTGGCTGCATAAGCAGGTAAGGCTGGAGGGAAGGCTGCTGTCCCTGGAAGCTATGACTGAGTTTCTTCCTGTTCCTGACTCACGTTTGCTCTGCCTCACCCCTGACCTCTTACTGTTTCTTTCATACCTGAACTATTCATTTCCTGACTGCATCTGGAACTTTTCACACTCCTGGCTCCAGGACACAGGTCATACACATAAGATGAACGAGCATCTAAGCCATACTTAAGATCATTAAGGTCGGGGTCTGGAGAGATGGCTCAGTGGTTAAGAGTATTGACTGCTCTTCCAGAGGACCAGGCTTCAATTCCCAGGACCGACATGGCAGCTCATAACTGTCTGTAACTCAAGCTCCAGTAGCTCCCTCACACAGACATACATATAGGTGAAACATAAATGTACATAAAAATAAATATTAAAAATAAAAGCTCATTAAGATAAAATGCAGACCATGGTGGTGAGTGCCTGGAATCCCAGCACTCCTGAGGCAGAGGCAGGAAGATCTCTGAGACAAGCCTGGTCTACACGAGCAAGTCCCAGGACAGCCAAGGTAACACAGAGAGATCCTGTCTGAAAATGCTAAACTAAATCAAAAGAAAACAAGATGATGAGGAGGGTGGGGCAGGAACTGTGTAATGGATTGGTAAATAAATAAATGGACAGGTCTATCATCTCAGTGCTACGGAGGAGGAAGAGGCGGGGGTCCTCTTCAAGCAAGTGTCAGCTACAAGAGCAAAACTCTGAGGAGGCTGTTGGGAATTTGTGGAGAGGGAACACATGATAGGAACCTTCTACATCTTAGGCTTTGAACACTTGCACCAAGCCCCTGTATCTGAAACCTCTGTGGGGCACCACCTCAACCAAACCTCCCAGAAACTTCTCAAACCTCAGTGGCACATGGGAAGTCTTGAAGCTCCTAGCAGATGTATGATTTTTTTCTGAGGCATAGTTTAAAAATTGCTAAGCTTAAGCTAGATGGTGGTGGCACATGCCTTTTTAATCCCGGTATTTGGGAGGCAAAGTAGGTGGAGTTCGAGGCCAGCCTGGTCTGTAGAGTGAGTTCCAGGACAGCCGGGGCTACACAGAGAAACCCTGTCTCCAGGATGAAAAAAGTGGCGTAGTTAAGAGACAGACATGCTGTCAGGCAATCATAGCACCCAGCTTTCTGCTGTCATATGAATCCATCACATCAGCACATTCTGTTGGCCACTCCAGTCCTCCACTCTCTCCGGGTCTCTGCCTCCATCTCTCTTTCCTCCCCCCCGCCTTTCACGGGGTCTCTACCCCATCTCTTTCCCCTGCACACCCCCCCCTGTCTCTGGCTCCATCTCTTTTCTCTGTCCCCTCTCCCCACCCCTGCCTCTCCTCTCTCTGGGTCTCTTGCCCCCATCTCTCCATAGGTCTCTCTAGGCCTCTGTCCCTCTGTTTCTGTCCTTCTCTCTCCCCCTTAGTCTCTGTCCCCTGTCCCCCTGTAGCTGTCCCCCTCATCCTCTGTCTAGCGTCTTCTTGGCCCTCTGTTCAGCCTCTCTCTCTCATCTGTTTCTCTAGGACAGCTCAGGCCTCCGGCTGTGGAAACGCCGTTGGTTCGTCCTCTCTGGCCATTGCCTCTTCTACTACAAGGGTCAGTGTTCTGGCCCTTCCCCACCAGTTTCTTTCTGGGGCTCCTAGGACCCCTAACAGCTTCCTGACCTCTGACCCACCCTGTCTGCAGACAGCAGAGAGGAGAGTGTCCTGGGCAGCGTGCTGTTGCCCAGCTACAGTGTCAGGCCAGATGGGCCGGGAGCCCCCCGAGGCCGGAGGTTCACCTTTACAGTGAGTGTGTTTGTGGGTTCAGCTAGCTGGGAGGTGGGAACTTGAGGTGGGAACCTCAAGTTCCCACCACGCCTGGGCTTTCCACATTTGGAGATAAGAGGTCTTACCTTGCTTCCTCTGTGTTACGGGCCCAAGCCTCTTGTCCCTTGCAGGCGGAGCACCCAGGCATGAGGACCTACGTCCTGGCCGCTGACACGCTGGAGGACCTGAGAGGTTGGCTTCGGGCTCTGGGAAGGGCCTCTCGTGCAGAGGGGGATGACTGGTGAGTGAAAGCCCAGGCATGCTCTCATTTAAATAAACAATTACTATCTCCTAAATAGACTACCCTCAAAGACTCTTTCCCGAAGGAACATCTCAGTAACAAAAGGTTTTTCTCTTTAAAGATCTGTCTACTTTCTTGTCCAGCCCAGACTCCCAACTGATCTTTATCCATAGAGACCCTCAATCCACCCAAGGAGTTAGGAACCTGTACCACTCTCTGATTTCCTTGCTAGGGCCCTCTAAACAAAGTCAGCTTTGATACCATGTTTTTTTTTTTTTTTTTTTTTTTACAAGATTTGTTCCTTTTTATTTCATGTATATGAGTGTTTACGGCATGTGTGTGTGTGTGTACCACATTTGTGCCTGGTGCCCTCAGAGGTCAGAAGAGGATGTCAGATACCTCTAGAATTGGAATTACGGTTGTAATTGAGGGTGCTAGGAATTGGAACCAGATCAGGGCTCTTAATCTGAGCCATCTCTCCACTTACAAGGCCAGGTCACAATTTAAAATGCTTGTATTTGTTTATTTACTTATTTATTTTTACTTTTTTTTTTTCTTTTGAGAAGGGATCCATGTAGCTCTGGCTGTTCTGAAGCTCACTATGTAGACCAGGCTGGCCTCAAACTTAGAGTGATCTGCCTGCCTGGGCCTCTGGGTTAAAGGCAGGCAGGTACAACCACACTATTTATGCTTCTTTGGTTGTTTTTCATTGTTGTTGTTTTTGTTTTTTGAGACAGGGTTTTTCTGTGTAGCCTTGGCTGTCCTGGATTTGCTTTGTAGACCAGGAAACTGATCTGGAAACTCTCAGAGACCTGCCTGCCTCTGCCTCTTGAGTGCTAGGATTACAGGCGTGCACAAAATGTGTTCACACCAGATCTTGAGAGACTAAAACTAGCCTGGGCTATAGAAATGCTGCCTCAAAAAAAAAAAAAAAAAAGCTAGGTGCAGTGGCTTAGGCTGTAATCACAGCACTCTGGGAGGGGAAGGCCAGCCAGGGTCTACAAAGCGAGACCAGTACAGCCAAGGCTACACTGAGAAACCCTGTCTCGGAAAAACAAAAAACCCATCATCACTATCAACCCCTTCACTCCTATTTTTTTTCCCCCTTCAAGTGTCAGACTGTCTCAGGCACTTTTCCCATCCTACCCCAATTTCTGGACCTCAGGACCCTGGGTCCTGTGCCACTAGACCCAGTGGCCTGTTAGGAGCGAGAGTGAGAAAAATGTTCCTCTCTGTGCCCACTTGCTAGTGGACTATCTGGGTCACCTGCACGTCCGCAGCCTGGGGAAGGGCCGGGGGGCCCGGGAGGGCCCCCAGAGGTGAGCAGAAGGGAAGACGGTCGCGTCTCAGAATCACCGGAAGTCGCTCGGCTGTCCAGAGGTCGTGGCAGACATGGAATGCACACTCCCAGCCCTACAGCTGGCCTGCACCCTGGCACCTGGAGTCGGCGGACCAGGAGCCCAGAGTAAGAAGGAACACTTTGGGGGCTTGGCTTGGCGGAGCCCTACCAGAACAGGGCGTGGCATGGAGGAAGGGGCAGATAAAGGAGTGTTTGGGCCAATTAGGGACTGTTTGGAGGTCCAAGGGAAGAGGGAGCCAGTTGGAGGCTTAAGGGAAGGATGGGGCCAGGAAAGACCTTGGTCGTGGCTTGGTCCTTTGCACATAAGTGGTAGCAGATGTTCCCAAAGGGAACTCACCCACAATCTGCCCAGCAAAGAGGGGCGGTGCGACTCAGGGAAGCCAGACGTCCTTGCTGGCTGGTGAGGTGGGCTGGGATCAGGGGCTCAGACTAACTCAGTTTCGCGATTCTCTCTTTCCCCGCAGGCTGTTCTCACCCCTGTCCCGCCCGCCCTCTCCTCTGAGCCTTCCCCGTCCTCGTTCTGCCCCGGTGCGGCGATCCCCTGTCTCAGCAGGAGACATTTCAGTTCCTGTCCGACCTCACACTCCCTTGAGTCGCATCGATGTCCGACCTCCTCTGGATTGGGGACCTCAAAGACAGACCCTCTCCCGACCTGCCACTCCACGCCGAGCACCCTCCTCCGAAGCTGGCGGAGCACGGGCACCCAGGAGTCCCCAGCCCTGGAGAAAAGAGCCTAGAACGCAGGTGCGCAAAGAAAGCGGGTTACATTTCCCATTTGTCTTCAAGAACTCGCTTTCCAGGCCAGAGATTGAGTCATGCCTTCCAGGCGTTATGGGGAGTATAGCTCACAAAGCAACTGGTTCTCTCCCCGTCCCCACACCTCCCCCGACCCCAAATAAAAAATCCATGCCCCATCAGGTCTCAGGATTATTTTTTTGTGCCCTTGCTCCTGTGCATTGTGGGTATTGTAGTCCAGAATCCTCTCCACCGAACTGTGAGGCACAGTTTGATTTTCAGTTATTGTTTCAAGATTGGCAGCCTCCTGATAATTTCTCTAAGAATCACGAGTTTGTAGTGAGACTATCTGTAGCTAACTTCCAGCAGCCCCTAGCGGCTTTGCCAGGCTAGTCCATTTATTATGTGGAGCCAGTATAGCTGAGGATGTGTATGTGCCCCGAACTCAGAGCCTGGCCATTCTAGGCAAGCACTCTACCCTGACCTACTCCCTGGTCCTCATTTTTACTTCTTATTTTGACACAAGGTCTCCCTAAGTTGTCCTGGCTGGTCTTAAACTCACTCGGTAACCCAGGTCTCTGGCAGCTGAGGTGACATGGCCTGTGGCACTAGGCCTAACAAAATGTTTCTAAGCGTTTCTATTTCAGTCTACCCAGGCCTCCTCTGGTTCATCCACCTATCTCCAGCTGCCTCCAAGACCCCCTGGGACCCGGGCCTCCATGATTTTGCTGGTAGGTTTCCTGCAGCACCAGGAAGGCACTAGCACCCCTCTCTTGCTCCCCCCCCCCCCCCCCCCCCCTTCCCCCCCCCCCCCCCCCATGGTTGTCTCCTGGTCAAAGAGCCTTGAAATGACCATTCGGACCCTGCGTAGGTACTCCTGCTGTTTTCCCATTGCTGATGGAACAAGATAGTGAATGAGGACATGCCTGCCTCTAGGTATGGTCGAGGAGAAGCTGATTGTAGTTTCGATGAAGAGAACAGCCAGAGGCATCTGGAAGGGTCCAGACTGAACCAGGCCATAGTGGGCACAGAGGGGCGGGAGAGAGTGAGAGAGGAAGAGAAACGAGAGAGCCCAAGTCGCCAAAATGGCTGATGTTACATAGGAATCAGCGAATCTGGGACCTTAAGTGAAGCTCAGGGGCAGGAGTTCAGGGTAGGGGATGGGGTGAGAAAGGTGCTGAGAGGAGCCAGGACTCTCTGCAATACTGAAGCTGGAGGCCAGCCACCCCTTGATATGTGAAAAATAGGCAGAGAGCCATTTGATTCCTCACTGTTCTTACTGTGGCATTTAAAAGCACCGGGGAAGACCAAAGACTTAGACACAATTCAAACTGGGATTTAATGAATCATTCTTACTGCCAGCAGAAAGGATGACAGCCTTAGAGCTGAAAGCATGCTGGTCGGTGGGGGCTAAAGGAAGGCTTTGTAAATGGACATCAAAGATGGACATTATAGTTATCTCATGCTCTATAGAATCCACAGCTGGGAGGGGAAATTGCTTTACTCCCTCAGTCATTTTTCTTTCCTGTTAACATCAACCAGAAGATCGTCTCATCTTAGCCTCACAAAGACAACAAAAGGAGAGCAAGTGTCGATTGCCTCACAGCTGTAACACCATTCTTCTTCTTCTTCTTTTTTTTATTTTTCTTTCCTTTGGGACAGGGTTTCTCTGTGTAGCCCTGGCAGCCCTGGATGTCTTGGAATTCACTTTGTAGATCAGGCTGGCCTCCAACTCGAAGATCTACCTGCTTCTGCCTCCCGAGTGCTGGGAATGCAGGTGGCATCACCACCACCACCGTTCTCCACAGTGGTGACCACCCGCAGGCTGCTAGGATCAGTCAGTAGTTCTTAGCAGGAGCCGGGGACCACCTTACAGGAGTCATGCATAAATTATCACACAGACCAGCCCTCTCTGGGAAAGTGTCAGTAATGCCTGGGACACAGTGGTTCCTTCCTGGGCAGGAAATAACACTGCCATCAAGTCAGAGCTGGGCGTCACATTCCCACACTCTTTTGTGTGTGTGTGTGTGTGTGTGTGTGTGTGTGTGTCTGATGTTGAGATGTCACCAGGGCCACAGTCCCTTCCAGGGCCCCTGGTGAGGTGCTTCCTCGTCTCACCTAGCCTCCCTATTTGGCAGAGCCCTTGCTGTCCTTCCCTGACCACCTCTTACATGAGCAACTTCTGTTGCATTTGTCACGGGTCTGAATCTGTGGAAGGACCTCAGTGTGATGTCTTGGGATCTTCCATGAAAGAAGGAAATTTTGGCTTTGTCGGTAGGGTGCTTGCCTAGCATACACAAACCTTGGGTTCCATCCTCTGCAACCACAAACCCTCTGGGCATGAAGGTGTAGCCCTGTAATCCCAGCACTAGAGATGTGGGTGCAGGAGGCTCAGAAACTTGAAATTGGGTTGGAGGGATAGCTCAGTGGTTAAGACACTCATAGCACCTACTTCAGGTGGCTCACAAATGCCTGTCACTCCAGCTCCAAGGGGGTCTGATGGCTTTTTCTGGTACTCTCGCTCACACAAACACATACACTGACACACACACATATTTAAAATCTTTGAAAAGGCTAAGGTCATCCTCAGGCTACATAGCAAGTTCAAGCCGGACTGGGTAATACAGCTTAGCCATTTTAATGGCTTTTGTTTATTTTGAAATTTTGTTTTATCATTATAATAATAATAATAATTATATATATATATATATATATATATTTTTTTTTTTTTTCTGTGTAGTCTTGACTATCCTAGACTCGCTGGCCTGAAACTCACAGAGATCCTCCGGCCTCTGCCTCCCCAGTGCTGGGATTACAGGTGTGCAGCACTCACTCCAACTGCACCGTTGTTTTCTTATCCTGGTAAAAATATGGAACAAAATCCACTATTTTAAATATTGTTTTCTGAGACGGAATCTCAAGGCTGTCCTTGAACTTTTAAAAAATATATATATATATTTATGTACATGAGTGCTGTGTCTTCATGCACAGCAGAAGAGGAAATCAGATCCCATCACGATGGTTATGAACCACCATGTGGTTGCTGGGAATTGAAGTCAGGACCTTTGGAAGAGCAGCCCATGTTCTTAACGACTGAGCCATCTCTCCAGCCCCGCCTTACTTTATGTGCACCAATGTTTTACCTGCGTGTGTTAGTGCACGAAGTAAGTGCCTAGTACCCATGGATATCAGACAGACGTGCTGGATCCCCGGACCTGGAGTTACAGATGTGGGTGCTGGGAATCGAACCCAGGTCCTCTGAAAGAGCAGCCAGTGCTCTTACCCGCTGAGCCATCTCTCCAGCCCCCACCTGAAGTTCTATCCTCCTGTCTTGGTCACCTTAGTACCGGGATGGTGAGTGTGCACCTCCACGCCCAGCTCGACGGTTTCAGTGTGTGCAGGCACGCTGTGCCGCAGTGTCCCCATCAATTGTATTATTTTTTGGCTGTTTAAGCTCATTGGGATCTTTCTGAAGCCAAGATTCCTGTGGTTGGTTCCAGAGGTTTCTAGGGTTTGAAAAGATGCCAGTCAGGAGATGGTTGTCTGTTAGGGTGTCTGTCCATGGACTTGGCACTGTCAGTGTGAACCTGCAAGGCTCCTCTGACCCCGAACTTTTCTCCTCCTTAGCCAGGTCCCCCGGTGGACTCAACTTTGCATCAGAGCTTGGAGACAGATGTAAGTTCCCCCTGACCCGAACCCTGTCCAGTCCTCAGAGCTGGAAAGGCCCTAGAACTTTCAACCTTTGGGTCATGACCCCTTTGAGGTCACATATCAGATATTTGCATTATGAATCATAACAGCAGCAAAATGACAGTTATTAAAAAGTAGCAACAAAATAATTTTATGGTTGGGGTCATCACGACAAGAGGAGCTGTATTAAAGGGTCACAGCATCAGGAAGGTTGAGGACCACTGCCCTAGATGGAGCTGGGAGGGAAAAAACCAGGAGAGGTCCAGAAGCAGTTCATTCTCAACTTCCCCCAGACTCTGCTGACCAAGCTGTGTGGGCAGGACCGGCTCCTGAGGCGACTACAGGAGGATCTGGACAAGAGGCAGGAGGAGAAGGTGCAGAAAGGGAATGCCTTAGCTGCTCATACCCTTGATCCCAACCCAGGCGTGACAGTCAAGATGCTTCCTATGCGGAGGGCTCGGGCAGGGTTGGAAGTGGCTTCAGATGCCTGACCAGTCTTCTCTGTGTAGGAGCAGCTAGAGGCAGCTTTGGAGCTGACCCGGCAGCAGCTGGGCCAAGCTACCAGGGAGGCTGCGGCTTCTGGGAAGGCCTGGGGTCACCAGCGCCTCCTGCAGGACCGGCTGGTGAACGTGAGGGCTGCTCTGTGTGACCTGGCTCAGGTGAGTGGCGGAGAAGAGCAGGACTCCCAGGCTTGTGCAGGCTTGCAGGTCGTTCTTGAGCCATCAACCCACTCGCTTTAAAAAATGCGTTCTTATTACATTTGTGTGTATATGTAAGAATGTGTGTGTATCCCAGGACACACATATGTGGGTTACAGGAGTCAGGCCTGTCCTCCACCCTGTTGGTCCTGGGGACCAAACTCAGGTCATCAGACTTGGCAGCAAGTGCCTTTACCATGATAAGGGGCCAGCAGCCCAGCAGTAACAAAACATAATTTTAAGAGGATGATGATGATGGTGATGATGATGATAATGATTTTCTTTGAGACAGAGTTTCTCTATGAAGCTCTGGTTGTCCTGGAGCTCACTATGTAGATCAGACCTGCCTCACATTCCTAGGTATCGCCTGCCTCTGCTCCTGCGTGCTGGGATTAAGGCGTGCACCGCCACCACCCAGTCCCAGAGGGTGATTTTTAAAATGCGTTTTCTATCATACATATATGTGTTTGTACATCTGAACATTTATGTGCACATGCATAGGTGTGAACCTCACTCACGAGTGCTCTCATTTGATTTTACCTTATTTTTAAATAGTCTCACTGTATGTTCCCAGCTGGCCTGGAACTCCCAGAGATCTGCCTGCGTCCACCGCCACGCCCTGCAAAGTGAAACCAATTTTATAATAACAAGTAATGATGACTTATTATCATTATTATTACTTATTCTATTGGCTTGATGAGATGTCTCAGCAGGTCAGAGCACTTGCCCCCAAGCCTCAGGACCTGATTCTCCGACCCACAGGGCAACTCCCACAGCCCTTCTTTTCTACTCACACTTCACCAAGCATGCATGAGCATTTGCAGACACAAAAATAAATGCTTAAAAATAAGTTGTGTGTCAGAGGACAGAGGTCCGAGGACAGCTTACGGGATTGGCTGTCTCTTTCCATCGTGTGGTTCTGGGAATGGAGTGCCAGTCTTCAGGCTGGCTGCCGAGCACCACTGCCTGCTGGCCCTTCTCTCTGTCCTCCTTGGGGCATTTTGACATGGGTTTTCTGCTTTGAAAAAGCAGAAAAATAGTATCGGAAGAGACAGAGGCAGGGAATCCCTGTGAGTCTGAGGTTAGCTCCCTGGTCTACGAAGTGAGTTCAGGGACAGCTAGTGTTATATAGTGAGACCTACTGGAGAGATGGCTCAATGGTTAGTGCTTGTTGCTCTTCCAGAGACCTTGGGTTCAACTCCTAGACCCACATGTTGGCTCCTAGCCATCCATAACTCCAGTTCGGGGGATCTGACACCCTCTTCTGGCCTCCACGTTCACCAAGTGCGTGCATGATGCACGCACATTCATGCAGGCAAAACACTCATACATATAAATCAGAAAACAATTTAAAAGAGAAGAGAAGCTGTATCCATTTCATATGACCCTTGTGAGGATCATGTTAAATAGTGGAAACAAATAAGTAGATACTTACAAGTTGGTCTGTAGGGGCTGGAGAGATGGCTCAGCGGTTAAGAGCACTGTCTGCTCTTCCAAAGGACCTGGGTTCAATTCCCAGCATCCACATAGCAGCTCACAACTGTCTGTAATGCCAATTCTAACGGATCTGACACCTTCACACTAATGCACATAAAATAAAATTAAATAAATTATTAAAAAAAAAAAACTTGGTCTGTAGGCTGCTGGGCTGCATGGCTCTAGGGATTAGTCCGTGTCCATGGCATCACAGGCAGCATATGCCTAGGGTTCCCAGTAGCTCAGGCAAAGAGGATCATGGGAGCTGAAGGCCACCTATAGTGAGTGAGTCTATCAGGACGAAGCCTCCCTCCTCAGCTGGAGCGAGATCTGGTGGTTTGAGGGACTGATCTTGTTTCTCCTTCTTTTCTGGGACTCTAGGAGCGAGAGCAGGTTTGGGACACATACAGGAGCCTGGAACAGGACCTGGGCACCTTAAGAGAGACCCTCGAGTACCTGCTGCACCTCGGGTCTCCCCAGGTACACCCTCAGCCTTGCTGGTCCGCCTGGGAGCTGTGGACACTCCGCACTGCCCGAGCGCCCAACCCGCTGGTTTAGTGATTTTCTCCCCGATGTGACTTGACAAGCAGCAATTAAGGGAAGCACGTTATGTTAGGGTGTGTTTGGTGTGTGGACTGAGGACAGTTTTTCAGGGTGGGGAAGGTAAGGTTCATGTTGGCTGAGACTTCTGGAATCTCAGTGGTTCAAGATGCAGAGAGGCAGTTAGGCGCTCAGTTCCCAGCACCTGCATCTGTATCTACTTCCCGTCAGATGCTGCTAAGTTTATCCTAGGGAGTGCAGACACACACACACACACACACACACACACACACACACACACACGCATGCACATTTTTGGTTTTTCAAGACAGGGTTTCTCTGTGTAGCTTTGGCTGTCCTGTACTCACTTTGCAGAACAGGCTGGCCCTTGAACTCAGAGCAATCCACCTGCCTCTGCCTCCACACCTCATACATCTACATATATTTAAAATAATAAAAATAAACACATTTTGAAAAGAAGCAGAGTTGGGAAATGCTCACATCCCTCTAGCTCACTCATTCTCTTCAAGCAAGTCTAGAATATTCCTTTTTTCCTTTTTATTTTTTTAATTTTTGGTGGCCTATGTCCATAAGCAGTACAATGAGGATTAAGTAGGATCCACCTTCTTTCTTTTTAAAAAAATTATTTAATTTTATGTGCATTAGTGTAAAGATGTCAGATCCCTTGGAATTGGCAGTTATGAGCTGCCATGTGGGTGCTGGGAATTGAACCCTGGTCCTTTAGGAAGAGCAGACAGTGCTCTTAACCACTGAGCCATTTCTCCATCCCCTAGAATGCTTTTCTTATGTTATTATTATTATCTTTCGGTTTTTAAAGATAAGTTTCTCTGTGTAGCCCTGGCTGTACTGGAACTCACTTTGTAGACCAGGCTGGCCTCAAACTCAGAGAGATCCACCTGCCTCTGCCTCCCTGAGTGCTGGGATCAAAGGCGTGCGACACTGCTTGTCTGGTATGTTAATATATCTTAAGGTTTATGATTTCTTAATCTATCCGTTTGTTTATATATTTACACGCATGTGCTGGTGCCCGTGGAAGCCAGAAGAGGGTATTGGCTTCTCTGGAGCTGGAGTCACAGTTATAGGTTGCCTGGTGTGGGTGCCAGGAACAGGTCTAAGTGCCCTGACCACCTAATTTCAGAGAGCCACTCTGGCTGCTTCCAAATGTCTCCTCTCAAGTGAAGCCGTGCCTGCGCCGCTGAACGCCACAGCTATGCCCTGGCTCCCTCCACCGCACTAGCTCAGGTCTGGCATCCTCTTCCGGCCAGTTGCTGTTAAATTCATCCTCGGGAGTTTTCTGTGCTCTCTTTCTCTCCTCTCCCTACTTTTCTCTCTCCCTTCCCCTTTTATTTTCTGTGTAAGCATGTGCAGGTGTGTAGGCCAGAGGATGACACACTCAGGCACCACACACCTACCTACCTTGGTTTTGAGTCTGAGCCTCTGTAACTTGCCGTGGGCTCTAGGCCGCTTGTCTAGTGAGCCGGGCATCTGCCCGGCTCTGCCTCCCCAGTGCTGGGATTACAAGCTTGTGATTCCATGCCTAGCTTTTAATTTGGGTTTCAGCCATTGAACTCAGGTCCTCATGCTTGCACACAGGCCCTTTACAGACAGAACCACTTTGCTAAGGGGCTGGAGTGTTAGCTCAGTGGTTGAGAGCACTGGCTGCTCTTCCAGAGGACCAAGGTTCAATTCCCAGCACCCATATGGTGGCCCACAGTTGTCTGTAACTTCAGTTCCAGGGTATGTGACACCAATACATATTAAATAAAATGATATGTATATTATAATATATATCATATGTATGATATATGACACACATGTACCGTTTCTCTAACGCACTCTGTTGTTTACTGGCTAGAAAATATGATGATCCTCCTGCCTCGGTCCCTCAGGTGCTCAGATTACAGCTCATCACACCTGATTAAGTACCTTACCCTACAGCGTGCGCTCACGGTGTGCCTGGCTTCACACTTGCTTCTGGGTTCTAACCTGAACTGTGTGGTTCCAAGTGATGGAACTAAAGAAGTGAGGCACGCCTGTAATCCAAACATTCGGAGGCTGAAGCAGGAGGACCTCCACATGTTCGCCTAGCATGCGCGAAGACCTGTTTAACTCCCAGCAGCACACATGCCAGGTGCTGTGGCTCAGGCCCACAGTCCCGGTACTCAGGAAGTAGAGACGTGAGGATCAGAAGTTCAAGGCCGTCTCTGCCTACATAATGAGTTCAGCATGATATACATGAGACCTTGTCTCAAAAAAAGGGGGGGGGGGGCTGGAGAGATGACTCAGCAGTTCAGATTACCAGCTGCTCTTGCAGAAGACCCAGATTTGATACCCAGCACCTCCATGCTGGCTCACGACCATCTAACTGCAGTTCCAGGGATCTGACACCCACTCTGGCCTCCTTGAACACCAGGTGCCCACATAGTTCACAGCAATATATGCAAGCAAAACACCCACATACAATTTTTTGTTTGTTTGTTTTTCTTTTTCATTTCATTTCCCTTCCTTCCTTCCTTCCTTCCTTCCTTCCTTCCTTCCTTCCTTCCTTTCTTTCTTTCTTTCTTTCTTTCTTTCTTTCTTTCTTTCTTTCTTTCTTTCCTTCTTTCTCTGTGTGTATGTAGCTCTGGCTGTCCTGGAACTTGACTCTGTAGACCAGGCTGTCCTGGAACTCCTAGAGATCCACCTGCCTCTGCCTCCCAAGTGCTGGGGTTAAAGGTGGGGGCCACCATGGCCTGGCTACACAATTTGTTTTTGTTTTTTGTTTTAAAGTTTCTTCCTGATATGGCTGGCTAACATTTGAAGGAATTTATTTGATACAATGTCACAATGAATGAAATCCTTTTTTATATAATTTATGTTTTATTTTATGTGCATTGATGTGAGGATTTCAAATTCCCTGGAACTGGGGTTACAGACAGTGGTGAGCTGCCATGTGGGTGCTGGGAATGGAACCCCGGTCCTTTGGAAGAGCAGACAGTGCTCTTCACCACTGAGCCATCTCTCCAGCCCCTTGTTTTTGTTTTTTAATGAAGTCTTTTTTCTGTCTACTTACTTCCTTACTTATTTACTTACTTACTTACACAGCATTTTGCCTGCATGTACACCTGCGCACCAGCAGAGGGCACCAGATCTCACTAGATGGTTGTGAGCCACCATGTGGTTGCTGGGAATTGAACTCAGGACCTTTGGAAGAACAGCCAATGCTCTTAACCTTTTTTTACACGTCCTGTTCATAATACACTTTTTACTTAAAAACAAATTGTGGGGCTGGAGAGAGATGGCTCAGAGGTTAAGAGCACTGGCTGCTCTTCCAGAGGTCCTAAAGTCAATCCCCAGCAACCACATGTTGGCTCACACCATCTATAATGAGATCTGGTGCCCTCTTCTGGCCTGCAGGCACATATGCTTGCAAAATGTTGTATAAATATTTAGGTACATCATTTACTGAAAAAAGCTTTAAAAAATTAATTAAGGGCTTGCTGGACCTGCCATGACAGGACACTGTCTCAAAAACAAAACAAATAAACAAATAAAACCTCAGTGGGCTTTATAATGAAATAAACTAAACACCTAGTGTCATATCTAGAGGAGAGGAGAGGCCAGACATCACTGAAAGCCACAAACATCATTCACTGTCATTAAAGCTGTGTAAGACAGAAACGCACCGTGTCTGTGGGTAAGAATGACAGCAGTGTGAGATGTAGGCTCCCAAGAATAGTTTTCCCAATGGAGACTTGCAGGTCTTGTATAAATCTGAATGCATGGGGTGGGGCCCTGGTCCACTGGCCACCATCACTTAGTCTTCTATCAGAGGACTGAGATTCATATCCCAGCACCCACGTGGAGGGCTCACCAACCCCTGTAGCTCCAGTTCCGAGCATCTGATGCCCTTCTCTGGCCTCTGTGGGTTCCTGCACACATGTGCACACACAGAGAGACACATATACTTTTACATACATACATGACTAAAAAATATAATAAATCTTTAAAAATTTGGGGCAGGTGAGATGGCCCAGTAGGTAAAGGCACAAGCCTGATGGCCCAAGTTCAGTCCCTGAGACCCAGGAAACAGAAGGAGAAAAACAATTTCCACAAGTTTTCTGAACTGTACTCTCACACACAAACACACACATACATATATGCACACACTAATACACACACACACACACACAGACACACATTCACACGTACACATTCACACACTCACAGATGCACTCACACATTCACACAGACAGACATCCACATACATGCACACACTCACACATATACACTCTTCCATACATGCATGACACACACTCACACTCTTACACACACAACACACAAAAGTGTAATTAAAAACTTTGGTGCGGCCACACAGTGTGGGCGCACACCTTTAATCCCAACACTTGGGAGGCAGAGGTAGGCAGAGCTCTGAGTCTGAGGCCAGCCTGGGATACACAGAGAAACCTTGTCTCAAAAACAAACAAACAAATCAAAAAACCCCAAACAAACAAAACAACAAAAATCTTTGAAGGTGTTTTCTGTGCAGATTGACAAAGGAATGGTAAGTTGTTGTAGGAAATGGGCTATTATTATCCGCTATTAATACCTATAATTATTGCAGCTGTTACTGTTTAACCTGCTAACATATCAACAAAAGACACAGACACCTGTTAGGTTTTCAGTATGCCTTGAACTCGGGGGCTGGGCAGATATAAACTCCTAAGCTGCCTTGTTACCTCCTGGCCCCACCCCCCATGCTGCTGGCTCCCTGTTCCCATCATTCCCACTAATGCTTTTCATTTGGGCTGCTCCTCTCCATTACCCATCCTCAGAGCAGGCTCCTCCCAGCCGCGTGGTGGTTTTACGCTAACCCATGGTGGTCTCTCTTTTCCTTCTATCCTGTCCTCTTCTTCCTCGTCCCCCTCCTATGATCCTGCCCTCCAAGCCCTCGAACCTTAGCTCTGCCTGCCTCTCTTCTAACAAACCCAGGTATGTATCCAACTTTATTAGCCAATCAGGGATAATTTGGAGGCTTGGTTATAAATGTCATTTTGGTTACTTGAGGGTTTGCTTGTAGAAAAGTAAGAATCTTGAACGTCCGAATACAAAGCACCAGACCATGCTGTAACAGTAAGCTGTAAGTTTATGAAGGCCGGAGACAACCAAGATGGCCTCCAACTGATCGTGATTTCAGAGCCTCCTAGGGTGAGGCCATCTGCTGGTCCCGTCCTTGTATCTTCTCATCTTGAACAAATCCCTTTTCTTCCCGAAGGACCGTGCGTCTGCTCAGCAGCAGCTGTGGATGGTGGAGGACACACTGGCAGGTCTAGGTGGCCAACACAGACAGCCCCCACATACTGAGCCCAAGTCTCCATCCCCGGCACCCAAAGGAGAGGAGTCCTCGGAGCGAGAGGTGAGCTTCCGGCTCCTCCCCACAGCTTCCCGCATTACCTGTCCTAGCCCAGTGGGTCCCCTGCCCACCGCTTTCCCTTCCTCCTGGTTGCCCACCCAGTCCCACTGAAGTCACTGAAGTCAGAAGAGGCCGTTGAATCCCCTGGAGCTGGTTAGGATGGGTATCAGCCATCATACGGGTGCTGGGACTTGAACCTGGGTCCTGTGCAAGAACAAGTGCTCTAACCACTGGGCCATCCCTTCAGTCCCATCCTTCTCTTCTATTTGCTTCCAGGACCTAACCCCAGGCAATGGTGCCACTCCTACAGGCTGGGTCTTCTCCTAACAACAATGAATTTAATGTAGACAGTCCCCCACCATCACAGTGTGTGTGTGTTCGTGTGTGTGTCACGGTGTCATGTGGAGATCAGGGATGGTTTGTGGGAAGCGGTGCTCTCCTTCCACTACATAGACGCTGGGCTGGAAGTTACATCTTCAGACGTGTCGGTAGGCACCCTTGACTGCAGAGAGATCTCAGCAGCACCTTATTTACTAAATACATTGTTACTCATATTCATCAGTCACCTGACTTTTCACCCACCCAATGCAGTAAGGGCAACCAACCAAACTAACTAAGCCAAACCAAGCCTGCGGTGTAAAGCTCGGAGTGTCTCCGGGATGGCCGCGGGAGGGCGCAGGTGTCCCTCAAAGGCAGCTGCTTCCTTGGCAAGCCCCTCCAAGGCCACCGTATCAGCTGGGCGGGGGTGGCGCACACCTTTAATCCCGGGGTCGGGAGGCAGAGGCGGTGAATCTCAGAGTTCGAGGCCAATCTGGTCTACAGAGCAAGTGCCAGGGCAGCCAAGGCTACACAGAGAAACCCCTTTAGACGTGGCGCTGGGCGTGCTCAGGAAAGCTCATATTCGTGTCAGGGCTCACGCAACGCTCACTGCCTTTTGGGGTTAGACAGCTTGCTCTAGGCCACACTGCTAATCAGGGGCAGAGATGGGATTTGAAGCTCTGGGTTTGTTATCTCACCTTCTCCAAGCTGCGCCTAAGCCGCTAAGCACTTGGAAACTTGTGGGAGGAGTAAGAAGAGTGACGAGGTTTGCTCGCATCCCCTCTTCCAGAGCCTCCCGGAGTCACTGGAGCTGAGCTCCCCGCAGTTGGCTGAGGCGGACTGGGGTGGACCCCCAGGAGGCGACGCAGCCCTCAGCAGCCCTCACTCAGGTGAGCTCCCGGGTAGGGTGGGACCGGCTCTGTGTTCTCGGTCTAAGCCCCTTCTGTCTTCCAGGTGTTGGGTCTCCAAGGGTCTCCCGGGCATCCAGCCCTGAATATCGACAGCCGTCCCCGCCGCTGAGAACGAAGGTAGAGCATCCCGGGACGCCTTAAGGGTGCCCTGTAGCCCTGTCCCTCTCTGCCTTAGGAGAGGCCAGAGAAGGCCACACCAGAGCAGGCAGGGTTTTAGCTGAAGAGCTGGAAGAAGCCGGTGATCGGGGTACTTACTGAGCCCCATTGGGCCTCCGTGTTTCTCATCTTTGTAACTAATAAATAGGTTGGCTGACCACATGACATGAGATTTAAAACAAAAGAAATGGTTAGGGACTTAGTGGTGGAGGCCCCCACCCGGCAGTGAGGGCCTGCGGCTTCATTTGGCAGCACTTCCCAAGACCAAAGAGCTAGTGTTTTTCAATAATATTGGTAGAAGCGTGATGCTTCCTTTTCCACAGGTGATGGAAGGAGGCCAGGGACGTGGGTAGGGAGGAGGCCACGCACACGGGGCCTGGAAGCCCGTCACCTCAGCCACTGGATCGTGTGGTACCCAGCCAGGGCCAGGGAGTGGTCAGGGGTCCTCTCGGCTCTGTAAAATGCCAGGGTGTTGGTGAAACGCTCTTAGGGCAGGGAAAAAAAAAAAAAAAAAAAGCAAAAAAACAAAAAGAGGAAGCCCAAGGCCTTGGTCTGTGTCTCCACAGGCCCCGGTGGCGCGACCTCGCATGAGCGCTCAGGAGCAGCTAGAGCGCATGCGTAGAAACCAAGCATGTGGGCTCCCTCTCCCTCGCCCTGCCTCCCCGAGGCTCCTGACCCTAGGGAAGGCACTGTCCCCAGCTGGCCGCCAGCCTGATGTGGAGCAAAGGGTGAGGAGAATAGGGTCTTGGATTGGAAAGCACGGGGCTGGGGGCGGGGAGGGGGCAGGATCTTTTGCTCCTAGATTGAATCTCAATATCTTTTTTTAATTTTCTCTTTTCTTTTTTCTCTTTCCTTCCCTTCCTTCCTTCCTTCCTTCCTTCCTTCCTTCCTTCCTTCCTTCCTTCCTTCCTTCCTTCCTTCCTTCCTTCCTTCCTTCCTTCCTTCCTTATTTCGAGGCAGGGTCTCACCTATCCCCCCCTTTGTTTTGTGATTTTTTTGAGACAGGATTTCTCTGTGTAGCCCCGGCTGTCCTGGACTCCCTTTGTAGATCAGGCTGGCCTCTGCCTCCCAGAGTGCTGAGATTACTGGTGTGCAACGCTGTGCCCAGGTGGCCTTGAACTCTTGATCCTCCTGCCTCTCCTCCCTTGTGGCCTGGGCCACCACGCCTGGTTTCTACTCTGCTGGGTCCTAGCGCCCTGTGCACACTAGGCAAGCAGTCTATTGATCAGCCACACCCCAGTCTTCTCCACCTTTCTAAAACGGAAATACTTCCCACTCCCTGTTGCAAAATAAGTCATCCCCCCTGTCCTTGCTCCTCCTACAGTTAGGGGCAGACTTAGGCAAGAAGGTGCCATGGGGGAACCTTCTGGGGACACGCAGCACAGATACAGGCGTAGTGACCCCGGAAAGAACCCACAACAGACTCCAGTGCCAAAGTCAGCTTGGTGAACCAGTGAGGTTTTATGGGGTTACTTGCAGGAGTGTGTGTGAGAGGTTACTTCCAGGAGCAAGGCTGACCTAAAGTGCCTCCATCAGCAGAAGCCCTCCCCCGGTGAGAAAGCTGCTGTGGTGGAGCTGTGCTCAGAGCTTGCAGCGGCTTAGCAGGTCTGGAGCTCTCTCTGGCTCACCCAGCTAGAGTCCCTGCTTCCAGCTGTGCTGGCTGTTTCCAGTAGTTCAGCAGTGGAAGTTCCCATAACTCAGCAAGTTTCAGCTTCCCCAGACGCCTGAGGTTTGCTCATCTGGGTCTCAGGATTCTCCCCTCTCCTGCGAGGAATGTAGGAATGTTTCGATTCAGAGGAAACTGCTGGGAAGCCAGAGGGAGCAGCTGTCCCCCTGCAGTTTCTTTGTTGGAACTGGGACAGGAAAGAGGCCATGCAGCCTGCGCTCCTTCATGGACTTGCTACGCCCAGCGAGATCACATGATCTGAGGAAGAGGCAGACTGAGTATGTGTCTATATTTCCTAGCCATGCCTACTTCTCCAGCCAGGCCCTGCTTCCTAAGAGCACAACTAGCTGTAAACCCCTGTAATGACAGAAGACTACCTAGTCCTAAAGAACGCTGACATATAATCCCATCCATGAAGATTACAGTGAAGGAGGCCGTGAGGCGGGTGGAGGAGCATTGACAGACACAGTACTGGATATGGAGACCTAAATGCGACGGTGCCTTAGTGTGGAAGAAGCTGGGCCCCGGGGGCGCGCGCCTGTAATCCCAGCACTCTGGGAGGCAGGGACAGTCGAATCTGTGAGTTTGAGGCCAGCCTGATCTACAGAGCGAGTCCAGGACAGCCAAGGCTACACAGAGAAACCAAGCAAGTAAAGAAACAAAGTGTGAAAGGGAGAGGGGCCCTGAGAGGTGGAAGGATGAGCTCTTCCGAGAGCAGCTTTCAGGGCCTCCCCAGCCGGTCCCTTCAGGCTCTTCCCCAACAGAGCAAAGGTCTGCCATTTGATGGCTGTGAAGAGGCTATGGAAAGTTCCAGGTCCTGTGATTTAGTTCCCTGTCGCCTGTGTGAGGAGCCAGGTGCCACGGATTGTAAATTGTCAAGTTACAGCACTGGCTACTTAATTGTGAACTTCAGGGAGGTGTGGCCTGAGCCAGACTAAATGACTCAGGCCTGAACACACAGGCCTGTGTTCTGTCATTCATCTGTGGATCAGTTCATTGGGCAGAGGAACACTCTCATGGTCAGCCACCTCTGAACAGCACCAACGGCTGACATGTAAACCTTTAGGGACATTCATATCCAAATCACAGAAGCTTTGGTAGGGAAGGATTAGACCCACCGTAGGTGTAGCTGTGATTTCATAATCCTGATGTTCTCCAAGAGGACAGGTGATTGTAAATATCATGTCTTTGAGCCATTTTACTGTGAGGCCACCCCCTAAAAATAAAAAGTGGGACCCCTTGTGTGAGCCCCGGATAGCTGCTGCACAGCTCCCCCCGAGGAGAGAGAGGCAGGAGGATCAGGAGTTCAGGGCCATCCTCATCTATATAACAAGTTGGAGGTTACTCTGAACCTTATAAGAGCCTGTCTGGGAAAGGTGGGGGAGCCTGGGGAGATGGCTCAGTAGTTGACCTGTGTGAAGCCTGGGCCAGCAGTCAATGCCTGTAATCCCCGTGGACTGAGATGGGAAGTGGAGACAAGGACCCCAGAAGCTCATGGGTCAGCTAGTCTGTCCAACTTGCTGAGGTTCTAGGCCAATAAGAGATCTTATCTCAGCCAAAAGGAGAAGGTCAGAGGAGGGACACCCAGATGTCTGCATGTAGGTGGGGGAGGAGGGGACTGAGGAGAAAGGGAGGGAGAGGTGGGGAAGGACGGAGAGAAAGCAAGGGCAACTCAAAGAATTCTGTCTTTTTTCTTCTTTCCCTTTTGCCCCCCCCCCTTCCTTTCTTTTCTTGCCCTCTCCCCTCCCCCCGACTCCTTTTTCCAACTCTGCTCTTCTCTCTTCTTTCCATTTGGACACAATCTTATCCTGTACCCAGACCAGGCTGGCTTTGAACTTGTGACCATTCTCCAAGGCAAGACTTCTAACCACTAATTCCTTTCCAGCCTATTGTAGGAGCTTCGAAATGGCTCAGGAGTTCTGGGTCCTGGAGTAGGTATGGCTCTAGAGTGGTGAGTGCAGATGGGGGGATCCAGACTCACAAGGTGGGGGGGGAATGTGTACCACCAAACGAGTCCCCACAACTCCAGAGTCTCTTGAGTTCCTGTGGCATCTACAAGAAAGCAAGGAAGCCCCTCCTGCCCGGTGGGAGACTGCAGCGCTCCCGTGGTTCACCCAGCAATGGCGACCTTACTGCTGGTCTGCCCGCAGCACACAGGCCCCGCTTAGAGTCCTCTAGATACGAACTAAGACCCCGCAGCAAGCCTGTGGCCGCCCGACACCCAGGGCTTATTTTCTGTAGTCCCAGGCACTCCACAACCTCTGCGCCCGTATCTGAGGGCCACCGAGAGCGGGTCCTCAGCCTCTCCCAAGCTCTAGCCACAGAGGCTTCCAAGTGGCACAGGCTGCTGACAGGTGAGGTGGCCAGGCTCCGGAGCCCTGCGTCTGAGGGAGGAGGCCTGAAAACTCGGGAGCCAGATGTTAGAGTTAACAGTTGTCATTCTCCCTTTAGCCTCTCCAGGGGAAGAATCGGATGCCAGGGGAGACCGTCTCCCGCCAGGCCCACAGCCTCCGAGTGAAGAACAGCCCCAGGCCACCTTGTCCCCAACTCCTCACAAGGCTAATTCTGCCACCACAGGGTTCTCATGCCAGGGGAGTGGGCGAGGCCTGGCCCAGTGGGAGCCCAGCTGGGACCCTGGGAACGCCCCTACCGCTCTGCCCCAGGATGAGGGAGCATGGCCCCTGAGGGTCACTCTGCTGCAGTCCAGCTTTTGACTTGCCTCTTCGCACTCCCACTCCCGAGTGGTGCAAGCTGGCAACACAGCCTTGAGGTTCGAGACCTTTCAGGTCCACAGGGGAGGGGGTCATTCCCGCCTGTGTGCTAGGAGGGTCGGGCTGCCATAGCCAAAGACTTATTATCCCAACACTGTCCAAACTTGGATTAAAACTTTCAACTGTTAGTCAATAAATAGCTTTCTTCTCTCTGCAGTTGTGACGTTGTGTTCAGACAAACAAGAGTCAGGGCCTAGACTCACGGGTAGGAGAAAGTTAGACGCTAGATCTTAAAATGTTGGGTCTGGGGCTGGAGAGATGGCTCAGAGGTTAAGAGCACTGGCTGCTCTTCCAGAGGTCCTGAGTTCAATTCCCAGCAACCACATGGTGGCTCAGAGCCATCTATAATGAGATCTGGTGCCCTCTTCTGATGTGCAGGCAGAACACCAAAAATAATAAATAATTAAATCTTTAAAAAAAAAATTGGGGTCTCTTTCCGGTGGAGGAGTCTGACGACGACGTTCAAAAATGGCACCTCGAAAGGGGAAGGAAAAGAAGGAAGAACAAGTCATCAGCCTTGGACCCCAAGTGGCTGAAGGAGAGAATGTATTTGGGGTCTGCCACATCTTTGCATCCTTCAGTGATACCTTTGTCCATGTTACTGATCTTTCTGGCAAGGAAACCATTTGCCGAGTGACTGGTGGAATGAAGGTAAAGGCCGACAGAGATGAGTCCTCTCCATATGCAGCCATGTTGGCTGCCCAGGACGTGGCCCAGAGGTGCAAGGAGCTGGGCATCACTGCCCTGCACATCAAACTCCGGGCCACGGGGGGGAAAAAGAACCAAGACCCCTGGACCTGGAGCCCAGTCAGCCCTCAGAGCTCTTGCTCGCTCAGGGATGAAGATTGGACGGATTGAGGATGTCACCCCCATTCCCTCTTGACAGCACTCGAAGGAAGGGAGGTCATCGTGGTCGCCGTCTGTGAACAGGGCTTCTCAAGTTAATAAATTGCTTTGTGTAAGCTAAAAAAAAAAAAAAAAAAAAAAATATTGGGTCTGAGGGAAGAGGCTGGAGCCTGGATCCCGAATCAAGTCGGAGGAAGTGGTGCTGGTCTTACAAGTCAGAGGGCGCAGGATGGGCCTCAGTCTGAGGGGACAGGGCTGGTGTCAGGACCCCTGGGTCTGAGAAAGAAGGGCTAGGACCCAGGCTCCACGCCTGAGAAAGGAGAATGCTCCGTTCTCCAGGGGTGTGGCCTTCCTGCGAGCACCCCTCCCAGGGCCAGCCTTTGGAGACCCAGCCTGCGTGTCTGGTTCCAGCTCTCTGCTGCTCTGGATTTCGAGGGTGTGGGAGACAGATGCATGCACTGGGAATGGGCCACAGTAGCCGGCTATGCCGGGGAGGTGGTGGTGGTGACCGGGGGTAGTCGTGGCACCGGGGAAAGCCTTCCATGAGTAAGGGTCTTCCTGCCTGGTGTCTGGATTGTAGAATAGAGAGGAATAGACTCAGTTTCATTTTAATTTTTTTTATTTTATTTTTTCAAGACAGGGTTTCTCTGTGTAGCCCTGACTGTCCTGGACTCGATTTGTAGACCAAACTGGCCTCGAACTCAGAGAGATCCACTAGCCTCTGCCTAGAGCGCTGGGGTTAAAGTTGTGCACTAGCATGCCTAGCTTTATTTACTTCTTAAATAATTTGCTTTTTAATTTTTTTCCTGTGTGTTGTGTCTGGGTGAGGGCAGATCCCCTGGAACTGGAGTTACAGACAGTTGTGAACTGCCATGTGGGTGCTGGGAATTGAACCTGTGTCTTCTGGAGGAACAGCCAGTGCTCTTAACTGCTGAACCACATCTCCAGTCTCTCAGTTTCATTCTTACAGGAATCAGTTTGGACCAATGGGTAAGCATATGGCAGTGGTGGTACATGCCTTTAATCCCAGCACTGTGTAGGCAAAGGTAGGTGGCCAGCAAGTGTGGTATACAAATCCAGTCCAGGACAGCCAGGGCCTCAAAAAACCAAACCAAACCAAACCAAACCAAACCAAACCAAACCAAACCACCAAAAACAACAACAACAACAACAAAAAACCCCTAAAACACAAACCCCCCAAAAAAAACAAATCAGAGTTTTTCCCCTGATGGGTTCCTAGCTGCAAAGGACAGGTTGGAGGATCGTGTTTCTTGTAGGGTTGGGATTTTTCTAGAATTCAGGATGGGCCAAGCAGGGGCTTAATGAGGAGGCAGAATTTATGTGAGAAGTGTCATGGGACAGGACAGGTCAGGAGTGTGGCTCGGGTGCACTGGGTGGCCACTAGGGGACAGCAGAGGTACCTACACAAGTCTGCAGGGCCGGTGATGTCTTTTCTGTTTCTGTTGGCAGTACAGCGGGGAGGAGGGGTTTCAAGTGGTTTTCTGAGACAAGGATGCTGAATTTGTCTGTCTCCAACTCTGCCTTTCCTCCATCAATGCATGGATCTCAGCCCTCCGCCCTCAGACTCACATGCCTACGTCCCTCAGACCCAGGGTTCCTCCCAGATCTCTGCTCATGTCCAAGCTTCAACTCTCCCTCCTCACACCCGAGTCTCTCTGTTGCTGAGGCGGGAGGCCTGGCTCTGGAGCAGGCACTCTTGGGCACTGTCTTCACCCAGGAAGGGTATTTGCAGGTGAGTGTTTTCTGTCCCAACACCCCATCTTCAGTACCTCTCTCTGCTCTCCGCGCCCTTTGTCAGCTCAGTGCACACAGGTCCCTCCCTTTTTCTCTCAGGTCTTTAGAAATGCACAGAACTTGAAAGTCTTGCCTCCTCTAACAGTTTCTGACTTCCCTGTACTCAGAATCTGTTATGCGTCCCTCTGGAAGAACAGCCAGTGCTCTTAACCTCTGAGCCGTCTCTCCAGCCTTAAAACAGAGCTGTAGCCTCAGATTCTGCCCTCACTCTTTCTCTGCTGTGTCACCAGTCCATGTTCTTCCCATCTCTGTGCCTCAGTTTCCATCTTTGAAATTAGAATCCTCACCTTTGTGGGGATGGAGAGACGGCTCAGCAGTTAAGAGCACTGACTCCTCTTCTAGAGGACCCAGGTTCAGTTCCCAGGACCCACATGACAGCTCACAACTGAACTCCAGGATCTGACACCCTCGTACAGACATATGTGCAGGCAAAACTCCAATGCACATAAAATTGAGAGAGAGGAGAGGATCATCACCTTTTCAATTAGGGGTGCTGTAGTCACTAAAGGAGGTCACTCTGTCCCTCAAGTCATTTCTAGAGCTGTGAAGCTCCTGAATCCCCCTGTCTTAGCTGCCTTTCTTTACAACATGGTAAGGATTCAGAGTTGCTGGAAGCTCAGCCTTATCTGTGTCCTCCTTTTCCTCAGGCTGGTGTTTGTCCAGCACCTGCCATGTGACAAATTCCACTGTGGGGAGTGGTAAGTAAGCAGAGAAATCCACATTCTACAGTGAGGAGAACAGAGGTGCGTTGGGGCAGGGCTCCTTGGCAGAACTCCTACCCAGAATTCCCTGTGAGCCCTGGACTGACAGGCATGGGCCAGCGTGAAGATGGCCACTGCACTCAGCACTCTGCAGCCTCTTCTGTGGCTGGCCCCCTAGCCCTTTGCTTCTTCTCTGACCTGCCACCCCTTTCCTCTCTCCTTCTGGTCTTCCTGTCCTGACCTCATTCTCTCCCTTCCTTTATAGACCTACCTGTGCAGTGGAGGAGACCTCTGCCCGGGGCTTCCGCCAGCTGCTGGAGCTGAACCTGCTGGAGACATACACCTGGGCCAAGGTGAGACAGGCCTAGTTTCAAATGGCGTGTGTCCCTAATTTCATCAAGAACACATGGCCCTGTGCCCCTTGGCTTCCTGTCTTTATTCCTTTATATGCAATCTTTTTTTTTTTTTCTTTTTTTCTTTTTATAAAGACAGGGTTTCTCTGTGTAGCCTTGGCTGTTCTGGACTCCTTTGTAGTCCAGGCTGGCCCTGAACTCACAGAGATCCACCTGGGATTACAGGTGTGCACCACGGTCCTTTATTCTAAAACAGCGGTTCTCAACCAGTGGGTTGTGACCTCTTTGGAGTTGAATGACCCTTTCACAGGGGTTGCCTAAGACCATCAGAAAACACAGATATTAATATTATGATTCATAAGAATAACAAACTTACAGTTATGAGGTGGCAATGAGAATAATTTTATAGTTGGAGTTGACCACAACATGAGGAACTGTATTAGAGGTCACAACATTAGGAAGGTTGAGAACCAGGATCTAGAAGGACCATGTTCTATATAGAAAAAACGACGCATATCTACATCCACCTGGAAAACTGCAGCTCCTCAGAAATTTCCGGAGCCTTCCAGGCCTGCTTGGAGGGAGAGACGAGGGTGAGGAGATCCCCGAGATGTGGCTGGTAGAATGTTTGCCCAGCCACATGTAGCTCTAGCTTGGGTCCCCAGCACCACAGAAAACAGGCGTGATACTGCAACCTGTGACCTCAGCACACAGGAGGCAGAGGCAGGAGGAGCAGGGCTTCAAGGCCAAGCTTGGCTACACAGTGAGATTCTGTCACAAAAAAACAGGCCAGGAAGGAAACAGATGGGGTGTTCATGGCCTAGAGAAGAGTCAGTAAGAATATTTGCTGTCGCTGATGGATAGATAGGTGGAGGAAGAGGGCTTGGGTGGAGATGGTGTTACAATGTCTGAAGGCCATGCTGGCAAGTCTGGTCTTGATTTCATAAGTAATAGGGAACCTCGGAAGATGGTTGAGCAAGAAAGTGATGTGAGCTTCTTAATTATTCTAGAATGTTCCATGCTACACCTGCTGAGCTGATCAGTTAAGCCCCGTGAGGGCAGAAATCTCTCCCTCTGTCTTGTCTATGGCAATAGGAGCCGTGAAGTTGGGCAGTGGTGGCTCACTCCTTAATTCCCAGCACTCAGGAGACAGAGAGAAGCAAATCTCTGAGTCTGAGGCCAGCCTGTCTAATAGTGAGTTCCAGGATGGCCACACAGTGAGACCCTGTCTAAAAAAACACAACAAACGCAGCGGGGACTGGGAGGATATTTGAGAAAGAGAGGGCTGTGTTCTTATGAAGACTTGCATACCACTCTGGCTGTGTTCCTAGCATGGAGTAGGACCTCAAAACAGGATGCTGAGATAACAAAGGAGGGAGAGAGAGTGAGGTTCTCCTCAGTAGATTGGTACCATGAGTGCCCTGGAGGGGGGCAGAGTTCT